GTTTGCGTTGCAAAGGAGGAAACCTTATTCTATTTTTTTTTGTAAAATGCACCCTTTTGATTATTTTTAAGGGTAGAAAGGTCATTTACTCTTTATAAAACATATATGTTGATTTCATCTTCTCCACTTTCTCTCTCTACATCAAAAGTCTGAGCAGCAATCAACATAGCGGTTTCTCCCCTCACTTGCTCACCTATTCTATTTCGCCGGAGAAATCAGCTTGTCCGAAGGCTCAGCTGCTCCATTTCACTGGAGGAATCAGCTTTTCCGGTGTCTTCTCTTGTATTTTGTTCACAGGAGAAATTAACTTTTCCGGTGTCTCTGTTTTTCTGTTCACCGGAAAAATAAACTTTTCTAGCATCTCCTCTGTTTTTCAATTCATTGATTACTCTTGCTTCGAGCTCTGTTTTGCTGCTCATCCTCTGCTCTGCTGTTCAAGCTTTGTTCACTGATCACTCATGCTGTAGTGTTTTGCACTTTTATTTGGAATGATGATTATGTGATTAATTTTGAAAATTGTGAGCATTTATACTAAAATTCTGTGTACATAACATATTATAAATTTTTAACTAGTGAGCATCTCGCTACATGCTATTTTGCTATTTGCTGCCATCCTAGACTAACAACTATGGTGCCTTCTCACCGTGATTTGGCATTTTTCTTTGTGAGTTTAGTCTTACAATTCTTTCAATATCATCTATTTAGTATTTTGAGTCCTTTTAAAATCCTGTAGACAACAAAAATTGCGAAAAACAATAAAAATGTTTGTTAACCTTTATTAATAGCTTTCTGCCTCTGGATTTCTTATGGGTGTGTGTCGTTATGATAGTCTTTATTTGCTGGAGTAAAACTAGACCTTTGTGGTTACTAAAATTTATGTTACGGTGGACAAATTTATGATGTATTCTGTGTTTTTTTGCCTCTTCTCCATGCAGCCTGTGGTGGATGCCTTTGATCCAAGGTTATTAATAGCTGCTCCTATGTTCCATGTGATAGACTTCACCAAAATAAAGGTTCGCATTAAATCATTAACTATATTTTTGGAGATATGCATTTTATTTGGTAATGTGGTTTTGTTGTTTTATTTTCTGGAGATCATATTGGGTGACAAATTCCACTTTTTCATGAAACAAGGTGATCTATTTTGAAATCATTTTCATCCTAGCATTTTACCTAATGCATTTCCTATAACAGCATATTTCCACTATTAAACATTTTAAATAGAAGTTTGTCATTTGCTTGTTTGCATTCGTGAGTTGTCATTTGAAAAAAGAATTCTTTGAAACTTGTATTTGCAAAGTCATGTTTGTTTTGGGACTGTTTTGTAATGGGTCTATTTCTGGTCAGTAAGTTGGCTGTTTTCGTTTTGGAGTTATGTTGTTTTGATGTGTGGAATAAAATTGCCCCGCAATGTTATCAAAATAGGAAGAAGAGCTGTATGAAATTGACATTCCTCTAAGATTCACAGCCACTGTGGGTGCCAGAGTACATGGATTGGCATGTTGGTTTGATGTACTGTTCAATGGAAGGTAACCAATCCTCTTCTACTCGTTTGATCTTGTCTGTCTTGCAATTCATCAATTCGTTGTGGTTGTTCCTTAATTTGTCACAATTATTCCAAATCCACAGTACTGTGCGAAGGTGGCTTACCACTGCCCCCGGTTCACCTACAACCCACTGGTATCAGTTACGATGTGTTCTCTCGCAGCCAATTTATGTCATGGCAGGACAAGAAATTACTGGCAGGATGCACCTGATTGCCCACAATGCTCAGAGTTACACAATATATTTAACATTGTCAGGTTGGTAATTGTTTTTTTCTTTTCCTTCTTATTACTATATTACATCTTGCACCATGCGGTTGATGAACAAATTTCAACTTGCATTTAGCTAAAATGTGGGGGCCTGGTGCTGAACAAGGAGGAACTCTTCAAACATCATCGTGTAAACTTGATCTGAAAGAACCTTACTATAGAATGTCTCAGCCGCAAGCTTATGCATTAGCCCAAGATCAGCAACCTCAACCACTTTTACAGTCACAGGTATCAAATTAATAATCAGACATCTGTTTCTCTTTCCATTTTTAGTTTAAATTTTATTGTTTTACACTTGCAGAGTCTGTTAGTTGGAGTCTTGAGGCGTGTTTGTGTGTGTGTGTGTGGAGGGGGGAGGGGGGAGGTTAATTTTAGGAAATTCTGATGAATATAGTTTCAATTTAGGATGAAGAATTAAAAAGAAAGTGGGACATTATGGATATTCAAAAGGTTTAATGATCGAAAATACACTAACTCTATTATTCTTAAATATTGACTCCCAGTTTTTTCCTTAATTGGAAATATGTTTGGGAGAAACTCCTAAAATGAAATTCTTTAAGATTTAAGAGAAATAATGCAATCTAATTTCCAGAAAGAGTGTAAATAGCATTTTTTTCCCCGTTTGCTGCATTAGTGTTTTCTGTGACAGTCAGTTTTCTTTGACAGGATATACACATTCAATCTCAGGATTTGGATGATACTGAGATAATGCAACAGCCTTCGCCTAATTCATGTGCTCAGATTGACTCCCTCATGCAGAATGCATAATTTGATGAAATCTAACGTTTGCTTCTATTTGTAACATGAATCAGCTAGTTGGGGTAATGTGTCCGTCTTTATTTGGACATACAGCCCTTGCCTGTAAATTAATCAACATTGCTTTGCTATCTATTTATTGTGTGGTTGTGCTGCAGTTCCTGTATTTCAATTGCATCGTAATTTATCAATATACCAACTTAATTTAAGTTGAAGCCATGTTGCTTTTAAATGTAACTTGAAATGGTTTTCAAATGGAAATTCACCAATACGAAATGCTTGAAAATTTTATATCTCACTTTCTCTGTCAAAATAGCTTCTTGAAGGTCCAGAAACATCTATTTTTAGCGTCTGAATTGTTGTCCAATCAATGATTTTATTATATTTTCTTTTTAAGGAAAGTATCCTTAATTAAGCAGGGTATAATATGCACTAGAAGAAAGATATTGTATAAACTACTATCCAAGATTCTGTTTAACCTTCGTAAGTTGGTCATTTAGAGAGGCAGTGTTATCAGCTCAACATTCTGAGTGGCTGATAGGTTGGAAGAGCATCGTTATAAAATTAGTCAGGAGGGATGGAGTGGAATCTAGCCTGTGGCTCGTTGTGATCGAATAGGAATCACTTTGTCCTGAACATGACTGTTTGTCTTCAAGATAAGTATTGCACCACCAGGGTGAATAGTTGCAAAACTAGGTTATTAGTACCACCAGTATGCTTTGTTATTAGTTCGCAGCACACAGATTACATTATGGGTTAATAATGTCGGGCAACTGAGCACATAATTTCAACTTCAGTGTGTGATCGATCATAAAGGAGTTACAATAATTTCAAATTATCTTGTGGGTCACGAATTTGTTCAAACACATCACATTAGTTGAGATCTAAAGGAACTACACACAGAATGGTTATTGGCAATTCACAAATTAGCTAAAATGGTGAATTTTTTTTTTGCAAATTTTTTTCATTGTTAATATTATTATCCACCCATATAACACCACATCATTGAATCTCTATCATAATTATTTTCTTACACGGGATAACATTTTTTTAAGGTCACTAGAGTTCTATATACCACAGAGCCAAATCCTCAGTGGCAACATACTTCTAGATGATAGTACAAAAGGTTTGACATGGTGTAAAGAGAAGCTATATTTCTAAGATTTTAATTAGAATGTATCAGTATATTAATTTATTTTTCATTGTCGTCTAATTATGAATTATCATATCATTAAGAATCATTAATTTTTGAAATAATTATTTTAAAAATGATATTTACTGTAATTTTTAATTAGTTGACGGTATAAATTATGCTGAGAGTGTATTAGAATTAAACTCTTTCTACTTCGAAAAAAATTGAAGTTGGAATACAAATAAAGTTGCTTTTACTTAAATCTTAACTGACTGCAGCTACTTCAGGAGGCATCTGAACAGCAGCAACAACAAAGGAGCAGCTGCAGAGGGAGGGTAGGATGATCTGGAAATGAACCTAGCTAGCACGAATATGCCAATCCACACACTCTTCCCTTGAATTAGGCATTCGTCATTATATGATATATTTACAATATTCAATGTTCAATGAAGGAATAATCTCAGCCTGTATATAATTAAACATGCAAGAACAGCTGAAATAATGGGGATAACTGAACTTTCAAATATTGTGTGCATAACAAGATCCACAGGATACAATTATAAAATGCCAAAACAAAAGCTAAACATGTATCTGGAAGATTGGCATGTACCATCATGAGATAAATTAACCACAATATCACAAAACAAATTATTTTTAACGCCAAAAGCCTCAAGGCTAATTTCTTGATTTTTCACTCTATTCCTTAAGCCTTAAGGCTAATTTCTTGATTTTTCACTCTATTCCTTACACTTATATTTTTCTTCATTTTTTTTATTGTATTTATAGTTTTTCTCTCTCTTTCTTTTCTAACCTTTTCTTTCAAAAAGATCAAGAATCATCATTTTTCTTATTTATAATGAAATTTTTATTTGTTCCAAAAATACAGTTACACATTTTTTAAACCTTTATATATTTAATAAAAGTAAAATGATTTTTTTATCAACTAAGTTATTTTTTCTAATTTTTATATTTTTTATATTTAACATAGGTATTTTTACTGATCTGTATTAAAATTATGGTTGAATTTTTATAAACAAGATTAAAATAAAATCACATTATTTATTATTCATACATTCCTACAGCTCTTATGAAAGGAATATACATCATAAAGCAACAAATTATGCCGGCACCGTAGAAGGATTATTATAATACTCAAACAAAAATCAATGAAATGTGATTTCAACATTGCTACTCATGAAGAACCATGAGCATTTCTCAAAATAAAGTTAAATTTCTAAACTCTCTGCCTTGAGCTATGACTAGAGAAAAGAAAGCTACACAACAGAAATACTCCAATTCTAAGGCTTAACTATCTTCAAAATTGAAATAGCATGAATTGGTGGTAACTTGGATTGGCAGAAGCTCTGCCAAAACTCCATCTTCTGTTCCACATCCTTAGTGAGTGCCTCATACATGGAAGTTGCAATACTTCTAGCTGCATCTCTTGCCTCTGGAAGTCTATCATTCAGTAAATCCACTGCCACTTCTATCAGCTCAGTCAACCCAAACTCCTCCATTTCTTTAAGCCCCTGATAACATTAATATACATGACTCACATCTTATAACAGTGCATAAACATAAACAATTAAACACCATCAACACAAAAGAAAGACATCACAGTTCAAAAGACTTGCAATGTATACTCACCATCTTGGAGACACAGTTGGAGAGAGAAATTGCAGCCTTAGCCCTGACTCTTAGGTTAGTGTGACTCACATAGAGCCTTAGTTTCTGAAGCAGTGGAAGGGGGGTCATGGAACCCACCATTGAGCCAAGAGCTCTATCAGCTTCTTCACACACAAACCTTTTATCTTGAGATGCTTTCAGCAGAAGCTGCAGCAGCTATTGAAATTCAACCAAACAACACAATCCAACCCATTAATCAATAGAATAAAACCAAAAACATGATGTATTTTACTAGATAACACAAAAGGAAATTGAGTCCAAGTACCAAGCCATCAAATGCATCAGAGGTGGAGGGGTCAAGCAACTTGTCACCAAAGGCATTGAAAATATCAGAAGCAGCCATGATAGAAGTTTTGCACAGAGCACTCCGAGGGTTCTTCATTGTCTTTGCCACCACCAGCACAATTTTTCCCCTGGTCACAATTTTACACCATAAATTTCAATACCACCCATGACTAAAATTCAAAACTTGTGAAAAATATAGACATTTTTTTTCAGAAAGAGAAAACAAAAAATATCCCTTACAAGATGGGGAATAGAAGAGAAGAGTGGTACAATGCGAAACGCCTAGCATCATTCAGTGACTCACAGACCTTGGTCCAATTTTTTGAATCCAAATCTTCAATCAAGCTCTGCATTTCCCAAGATTTTTAGATGTCAATGATTGAAGGGAAAGGAAAAAAATGAATTATTTATGGTGGGGATTTGCCAAAACTTACCTGAATCTTAACTTCAGGGTCCGACATGGGTTTAAGGTTGTCGGAGGAGATATAATCAATGGCGGTATCACTAGAAGAGGGCAATGGAACTTTGTTTTCATCATTCAGAGCACGGTCTTGTGGTTTTTGGGTTGCAACGGCGATCTTGGGTTGTTTTCTGGGTCTCTCTGGGGTTGTTGGAAGAGCGTTATCGATGGGTCTGAGAGCCATGATGAGTGTTACAGAAAGAGATGTTCAATGTATAAAAATCGTAACTTTAATAGCTTCAAGTTTTAAACACAAATTTTGAATGAATCAGAGTGGAAAGAGACGTTGGGCATTGCCGTGTAACGGTAACATTTATAGGTTGAAAGTGAAACGTTGCCTTCCCCTTCGAATTTTTTTAGGAGAATAATACAATTTTTAATACATTTTAACATTTTATTTATTTATTAATTCTTTAAAAAATATTTTTAAAACCCTAGTTAACAAAACTCTAATAATATTGATTAAAGATTTAATAAATCATGACTTCTATTAAAAGTTATATTAAGATTTATAGAAGTTTTTTTTAATAAACAAATATTTTTTAATTTTTAAACTGAACTTTTGATTAATATTCTCTCAATACTGATGATGAGATTTAAATTATGTTTGATTAGACAACTTTATTTTTTTTTGGTTAACGAGAACTTATATATAGTTTGATACATGTGCATAAGAGTAATGTTTTTTGTATTCTTAGTAAAGAAACTTCTATATATATATATATATGTGTGTGTGTGTGTTAGTAATATATAATATGCTATAATTTTTTTTATAAATAATGAAACTCATATAGCATAATAATATGAAACCTCATTTTAATAATCAAACATAAATCTTAGTTTAGAATGAAAATCCATATCAATGCTTCACAAAAATGGAAGACCGCAAGAGAAACTTCATGAAAATGTGAAGCCAAAGCTTAAAAACAAAAATCAAATATTAATGCTAAAAATGTTTAAAAAATATATTTGATTTTCAAAAGCACCTTTTAGCCCTCAATTTAAGTGAAAAAATTGTCTTTAAATACTTTAATATTTATTACCTTATTTTTTTTAGATGATGAAGAAAAATTTCTCTCAATTTTTAAAAAAAATTAATGATCACTTACAAATGAAATTGAAAAATATGGAACTCATAACATTCTTTCACATATCATACATTAGGAAACCAAATAAAACATTATTAATAATTAAAACAATTTTAAATATGCCAGTACCTTATCATTCATGTAATTTTATCTAATAACTTAAATTTCTGGCCTGTTTGTTTACTTTTGTGAACCGAGGATACACGATTACTTATACGAATATCAAATGTTAAGTTATAGACGATACATAAACAAGCAATTAGATGATTGGTTCACGATGTCATATCTCTTGGACCAAATAACCTAGTGTTGAATCCTTATTACCTTCATAATTATTATAATAAAAAGGTTAAATTTAGTGTCTCAGTATGTGTTATTTGAGTTTTTTTTTTCTATAATTTGGAATTTTTACTTTTATTTAATATTAAAAGTGTAGGAACTATGAATTGTTGCATGTTTATGGGTAACTATATTTGTCATTGATTTTTTGAATTAATAGGTGGAATTAATGATTTTCAGCTGCAAATTTCTTATATTTTAAAGAATGTTAGTGTCCATTAAATTTGCGAGTTTCTGCTTTCCAATTTAAAGCCTTTTCTCAAAATTCTTGAACTTCATTCCCCAAGCCCCAACACTAGTGGCATTCTGGTATTGAATAAGATCTTTTCTCTTTCACTGGATTTGAAAACAACTTTACACCATTTCCTCGAATTTAGCCTTTCGTACTACTGTTACTACCTATTGCTGCTGCTACTGCTATTTTCCCCTTATGCTCGGTGAATTCCCAACTGGGTTTAAAGAGTGTAATCCGAGGATGTGCACAAGTTTGTTGATCTCCTTATGGAAGGTACAAGGACATCAATGAATCACCATATTCATCTTGGATGAGTTTACATGTCGTGGGATGAATAGAAATTATGAGTTTGAACCTTTTCAGCTATACAGGCTCTTAATAATGAGGACCCTCAGGAAAGGTGTACCATTGGTAATGCTTAATTTGACGTGCACCAAAAGGGTGTCCTTGCTTATAGCCAGAGAGTAGTCCTTTTCTTAAGACAAGGGATTATCAAAGTGGGTAAAATTTCTTTTAACAAAATATTTTTCATACTCATTTCCAAGACCTTGATAATGTTTTGATGCATCATAGTCCTCACCTTGTTACTGATTAAGCACAGGATCTCTATTTTATCCGGGTTCTTATTTATAATGTTACTGCATTGATGTTTCTTCACAGTTAGAAGGTAGGGATTAACTTGTATACACAGAAGGGTTAGCATGATTCTTTTGGGATTAAAAGAAAGTTTGGAATCATATTCTGCCTTTAAAATTTAAATACTTTCTTTTGGTAACATAAATGGTTGTATAGCACTCACTTCTCAAGTGGATTGCTTATTGCTTTTAATGGTAGTATGGCAACTTTTTTAGTGGTTATTATTACTTATAAACAGACAAGCATATGGGCACATGAGCTTGTATCCCATAATGTTAATTATAAACCTTCTATAGAATTATCCTGACCTAGCAGTATGTCTACTACTACTCCATTTAAGTAATTTTTGTATAAAATATATATGTTTTCTCCCTTATAATCATATTAATAATAAAAGTGTTCGCATATTTTAAAAAAAAAATACGAGTGCAATAGACAATCTAATATTTAGATAGTATTTTGAGCTACAAATGTATGTCGGTGGCGAACTTACCAATGTCATTTTTGTTTATTGTCTCGTTCTTTTTGTGATTTGTATGGGAGACAAGTCTACCTGCACTCACTAAGGGGCTTTTTAAACTGACCTAGAGCATGACAAGTTTTGATGCATGAGATAGAAATAATCCCTAAGCTATGGTAGTTCTATCATTATTGTTGAAATTTTGAGACAATAGTATCACTGCTCTCTTCCATTAGTTTTTTCCCCTCAGGGTACATCCTTCCATCCATCCATTGATAATAAACAACATTTTGTGATAATACAACCTAACCTTGTAACATTACCGTGGTAAACTTGGCAGGCTCACTCAGGTGGCTTCCTATCCTAGATATCATCAGACTTAGGTAGGTTATCCAGCTTCATAGTACAAAAAGGGTCCAGAAAGGACCACATTTGGATCTAGTAATTGATCCAAGCTAACCTCCAAAGCTACATTAATACCCTCAGTTGAAATTGCAATCCAAACAACTTAGTAGCACATGCAAAATAGTACAGCATATAGTAGAGTCCCACTAAATTATAAAACTTGGAATGTATTGCAGAGACTTCAAAAGGAGAAAACTCCTCAAAAAATTGGCGTATGCCGCTTATAGTGGCGAGCACACGGTATTCTTTAGTAAAAGGCGAATGAATAGTTTGCTCTGTGCTCACCACACGGCTCCGTGAGTTGTTGAGGAAAGAGCTTTTACTATTTATAGTCAAGCAGGGTATCTTCCAATTAATACACTAATCGATGTGGGCTTAGTTAGAAATTGAGACACATGAGCACACTTGTTCATCTCTTTCTGTTCTGTCAATTGCGGTGCCCCCACAATCTAGAATTTGTTGTCACAACCCCTCCTCATCCACACACTAGGAATGCTTGCTTGTTTATCTCACTTTCTTATATTTTTGTACTGTAGTCTTGTTATATCTCAATCTCATAGCAAATGAGGAAGAATCAAATTGACCTTAGCAGAAGCTTGCTTCTGCAAGAGGAGACGAAGACCTGTAGCTATCTGGTTAACAAAGTGCAATAACCCCACAAAATATATGCTTAAGACTTTGCTTATAGTAGCATCCAAAGTTTCCTATATGATTTGGATTCTTCTTGAGGCACCTAAGCTCATTATGAAGACATTCTGGAGAACAATGAAATTTTCTTTCAAGTGTTGTTGAAAAGAATGTATCCTGCTTGCCATTATTATTCATAAACGCAAAGTTTCAACTGTTAGAGAATCAGCTGGAAACTATAATCAAATAATTTTTTGAATAATGAGCACATTTTAATCATCTAAATTGTAGGATAAAAACAACAAAATTCAATGGCAAGGAGTAAGCATTTCTTGAGGCAAATTCGCACAAAATATATTACACATGGTGCTTGATCTTATTTTACACGTGGGAAATTCGTGCATCTGATTGATTCTATGGGTAAGACAATTAATATTTAGTACAATGGTTTTATTAAGTCAAACTAGGATGCCTAAACTTGCAAAAAATAGTTAATTAGTTTATGATATGAATCAAATTCTCTTGGAACAAATGGAGTTAAATCGTTGTCGCTTGCATGCAGTGTTAGAGACAAAAGAATATAAAGTTGAAATAGAATGAGAATTAGAATCCCAACGATGTCAATGGAAGGTAGATGGACATCAATTAATCAGTATATTTATGAATAGAATTAATCTGTTTAAATCTTCGTGTGTACAGGCTTTTAATGATAAGGACCCTTAGGAAAGGCTAACACTTGGTAATGTTTTTATGTATCAAAATCCTAGTCTTTGAAATTGTAAATTAAAGTGCAGAAAATCTCTATTCTCATGAAACTTACTTTTTAAAGTTAGTGTAGTGTTATTTTCGGATCCGAATTGTCTGCAGTTCTGGCGGGAACTGCAGGATGCAGTTTCCCGTTCGCTTAAGCAAATTTTGATAAAAAATGATTTTGACTTAAGTTAAAACAAATTTGCTTAAGCCAGAAAAATTAGCTTCAGCAAATTTAGAAAGAGTAGCAAAAAAATCAGAAAAAAGAGAGAGAAAGTGAAGCTAAGAGGGAGATCAAAGATGGGGATAAGAGCACAAGAGAGTGGAAGAAAGCTAATATGGAAAAGGAAAAAGGGCTAGATGAGGAAAGAAGGGGAGGGGGATGAGTGAGGGTGAAGGGAAGGGGAGGGAAGGAGAGCTAGATGAGGAGAGAGGAAGAAGAAGATTGGGTGGAGTTGAAGGAATAAGAGATGAGAAGGGGAGGAAAGAAGAGACTGAGTGAGAGGGAGGTAAGAAGAGGGTGGCTGGATTGGAAGGAGAGGAGAAAAGAGGGAACCGAAGTAATGGAATGCAGGAAGATTCGTTTAAGCAAAAATAAGCAGAAAAAAGAAGATGTTGCAGTGTATTTTCACTTTTGCTTAAGCGAATTTTTCTGGCTTAAGCAAATTTGTTTTAGCTTAAGCCAAAATTACTTTTTACTAAAATTAACTTAAGTGAACGGGAAACTGCAGCCTGCAGTTCTCGCCAGAACTGCAGGCGATCCGGATCCGTTATTTTCTCAACGCGTGTAAGTAGATTAACTCTTTATGTTTTGAAAAGAATATTCAAAATTATATTATGCTTTTAGATATGAAATACTTTATTTTGATAATATAAATGTTGTTGTCACCGACGGAGGTTAGTCTAAGTGGCAAGTGGTTCGATATTGTTTAAACAAAGTCTTGAGTATGAAATTTTATGTATGTAAAAAATTTCTAATAATAGACTTGTTTACCACATTTAATTGTAATTCTTTATTTTTTTTCTCAAAAGAAATCTTTATCACATGTGGGCTCATTATACAAATTAATGAAATAATTCCTAATTATTATTAATAAATATGTGATGGTTCCACAATATTGTGCGTATTAGGTTTGGTTGGTTAGCGTAGTTTGATGAGCTATTCAATATGTACGTCCAATGTCATCACAATAAAGATCTTTAATAAAAACAAGTTTTATGAATTGAGTGTTCCAAACAAGTTTTCGGAAACGAACCGAAGTCGTCCTGCACGTGGAGCTCGCTCTTATTTTTATTGATAGGTTAAACTGGCAAGACATTTAATACACTCATTGGTTGCAAAAATAATCCCAACTCAGTACCATACAATTCTAACTCTTCCCTAATGCAATGAAATATTTTTATTACTTACTATCGACAACACAGACGTTGCACCAGAGAATGGGAAAACAACGTCTTACCAGCTGTTTATAATTATTTATTTAAAAGGGATACTCCCAACTCCCAACGAGAAACTAAATACATCATTATCAGGGTGATTTTGCTGTCCTTCCTTTTCCTTTTGCTATCAAAACTAATAGAATTATAAAAGTAAAATTATTGAATAAACAAATTATAAATCAACAAAAACTGTTAATTATATTCTATATTAAATTGATGGTCAGAATTAAAACAGAAAAAATAAAAATTTAGATGAGTAATCTTTATTTGTTGTTAGTTATAAAGTGTATAAAAGTAAATTATTCTCATATTGTTGAGTCTAAATAATTCAAGTTTTTGGTTTTATAGTTAATGTTTCCTTCCAAATATAGAAATTTCAACGTTGTTAGTATTATATTATAAATATAGAGTACCTAGAATGTTATATAAATATATAATTTTATTTTATTAATTATGGCACTTAAAAGATTAAAAATTCACGTCCCGCGTCATTAATTCTAAGAAGATGAAATGTCGTTTGGAGAAGATAAAAATTGAAGAAGAAATGTTACTTTGTATCACATCATAACTTGCTACGTCATTTTTATTCTGTCTCCAATCATCAACTATTAAAATTATTATGAATGACTCTTTCCAATCATCAACTATTAGAATTATTATGAATGACTCTTTATACATCAATTTTCACCTATAACCATCAAAGAACATGAAACATGATTAGGAGAGAATGGAAAAAATGCTACTTTCTACATCAATTCTTTGATAGGATTGATATAAAAAGTATATTAAAAAAGAAATGCAACTTTATACATTGTTTATTTCAGACATAAAAAGTAGTAACGTAAAAAATATTACTTTCTACGTTTGTTCTACCACATAATCAATGTATAAAGTAATGAAAAAAAATTTAAATGTTATTATTTTTAACGTTATAAACTTCAAAAAGTCATAACTTTTAATATAGAATTTAAATTTATGCAAATTCTATGTTCATTTTATATAACTTTTTAAGATTTGTTCAATAAAAATAATCAAAGGAATTTAGAAAAACTAAATTCTAAAATTCTAACATTTACATAGTTTTTTGTCAAAAAACTATGTCATTCGAAGTTTTTGATAGTGTTTAGTTGCATATTCACGTAGAAAAGATAGAGAGTGAGCAAATTCATATTATATGAATGAGATGAAAATAAAAAAAACCACACAAATACATATATAAAATTACCAATTTATCTTTTTATAAATTTAACTTTAATTTTTAATTTTCTGTTTCATCGTTAATGATTCAATCTTAATAAATAATTTATAAATTTTTAGAAGCTTTTAAAAAATATCTTAGGAAGAAAAGTAAATCACTAATCTATTTTGGATTTTAGCAAAAACTTGTTATTTTGTAGTTCAGCACCTTGTTTTCACTTAGTACACTGTTCGATGTGGGTTTTATTTCGAAGCTGAACAAATGAGCACCCTTGCTCTTCTCTTTCCTATCTATCAGCTCTAAAAATGAGTTTTTGGAGTGCTAACTTAAACAGTGATTAGTAAAAAATCACTTTGTAACTATATATTTAAAGAACAATTCTCTATTAATCGCTCTCAGATTTATACTTTTGAGAGCGGTTCTTTGTTAACCGTTTTCAAAACTATACTTCTGATAGCGGTTCTTTATTAACCGCTCTTTAAAGTCACACATTAGAGAGCAGTTAATAAAGAACCACTTTCTAAAGTCATTAAAGTTTATAAATGAAACACGCTTAACACATTTCTTCTTCTTAGCTAACAAATTGGTCTATTTTACTGTAAGTTATGTTCATCTTCTTTACTCTCTTATGTTCTCTTCTCTTTTTCTGTTAGCTTGCTCTTTTCGTCTTTTCTCACTAACAAATTAATTTTTTTTTCACATATGTATATACCTTTTCATTCTCTGTTATCATGCTTTTTTTATCTTCTTTGCGCTAACAATTAATTTTTTTTTTCATATTTGTAGGTACCTCTTTATTCTTTGTTAGCCTGCTCTCTTCATATTTTTGGGCTAACAAATTGAGTTTTTTTTTCCACATTTGTAGGTACTTCTTCATTCTCTCTTTCTTTCTCTCTTTCTTTCTTTCTTTCTTTTTCTCTTTTGTTAACGGTGAATCATCCATTCTCTCTTTCTTTCTTTTTTCTCTTTATTAACGTTAAAAATTATCCTACTAATTTATTCTTTTTTTTATTTGGTTCATACAGATGTGAGTTATTTGGTTAATACTAAATGTATAAACTCAAGATTCAATTTTGATTTGTGATAAAAATGAAAAAAACTTACAAAGAAATCAATTTTAAATTTTGATTTAAACGTAATAATAAATTAATTTTGCTTTGCAGCAGAAAACTCAAAAAGAAACTAATTTTAAATTTTAGATTCGCGGTCTACATTTATACTTTGTAAAGCGGTTTTAAGATAGCGCAAGATTTTAAAACAGTTCTAAACGCTCTCTAAACTCCTTCATTGCGCATCAGGATGCTTGATTGTTCATCTCATTTTCTTATTTTTGCATTACAATCATGTTAGAGTGTATCTCAATCTCAAAGCAAAGGAGGAAGAGGAAAATTGGCCTTTAACAGAAGCTTGCTGCTGCAAAGAGAGCAAGACCACACAATGGTTCAAACTTTGTTAATAGTTCTTCCAAACTAACCTATATCATTTGGAAATGTCCTCATAAAAGAATGTACCCTGATTGCCATTATTAGTCTCAAACGCAAAGCTTAAATTGTTAGAGAATCAGCTGGAACCTAGAATCAAACTATTTCTCGAATTCAATAGCAAGGAGTGCTGTAGAGCTTCAGTTGTTAGAGAACCAGCCCTACAGACAACGAAGCATTTCCTAAGACACAATGACAAAAAAATATATTGCACGTGGGACTCGCTAATACTTAGTACAATGGTTTTGTTGGGTCAATGCGACTTAGGAAAAAAAAAGTCAAATTATTATATCAATCAAAATCCAAAAGACCGTGGGGCATAGTATCAACTGGTATAGGATTGTTTGAGTTTAAGATTTTAAATTTGAATTCTACAAAATTAATTATGTTAAATATTTGAAAAAAATAATTTTATTATTTATAATAATTTTATCACAGGATTATCTCACTTAGATACATAGAATTTATAAAATAAAAAATTCCTCTCTGTGAAGAGTTGTTTAGCACTCGCATTTTACTTCAAATGGGTTGTTGATTGTTTGTAGTATTACTGTTAGTACTAATTGATTGAACTTTGTGATAACAAAATCACTGCTTGCGTTCGTTAGCTTTTAATTGCAAACCTTCTAACCTTGCGTGGAAGTATTGTCATGCAGTATCTTTATAGATATACTCACAGCCGTTCAAAAAGGAGGCCACTAAGTATCTGTTGGAAAATATGTTATAATTTTTTAAAATAAATGTAAATTTATATCTATTTAAATGTGAAACTAAACACCCTCTAAATTATGTGTTTTAAGCTTTCTCTTTTATTAAAAAAATATTTTTATTTAAATATTATGTATATAATAAAAAAATAATATTAAAAAAGTTGAAGTTAAATTAAAAATTATTATTAATACTTATTTATTAAAAAAAAATCCTTTACTTATTATAGTTTGGTTTAGAACAGTTTGATGTCTCTGTATATACAAATGAATGCAAAGAGACAGAGATAATCATTAGCCTAAAGTTGTCATATTCTGATGAAGTTATCAAAATCAAGCTTTTCTACAGAACTCCGACTATAACTGAACAGCAAGAAATTAACCCCCAAAAAACTGTTATCTTGTCACTATTTCTGTATTTGATATTCATAGAAACGTAGAAGAAAGAAATGGGAAAACAACGTCTTCTTCCCATTCAGCCGAAAAAGTAGAAAACAAGACAAGTTTTTATACTATTTCACTCTATTTAATATTATTATATTATTCAACGTATTTATTTTAGTCATATAATCCTCTATTTATAAAAAAATTATTTTTTTCACTTTTTCATACTTTGTTAATACCAAATAATTCAAGCTTATTCATTTTTATTTTTAAATTCTAAATTATTTCTTATATATATATATTAATTAAAAAATGTATTTTATTATGTAACAGATTCTTTTAAATTAGGAACCGCAAATTAAAACGATAACTTGTGCTGTCTTGTTTTAAAAAAATATTAATAATATATTTTGACACAGTTTAAATTATTGATTACTTTTTTTAAATAAAAAATTATGTAAATTTTGTTTTATATTCTTATATTTCTAATAAAATTAAATAAAAAAAAATATAGTTTAAAAAAGTGTGTTACTTACACATAATGTACAATTAGAACCAACCAAATTGCATAAACTGCGTTCCTATGAATTTCTCCAAGCGTTCACATATATTACTTCGAACATTTACACTTACAGGGCTTGTCGGAACGAGTGGTGAAGTGTAAACGATGGGACAACCCCACAATCCTTTTATGCTGCTAAAATAACCTTTATGTCGGCTTATGAATTTTTTTTTTTTAAATTAGAGTTTATAAATCATATCATCATATTATTGTCATGAAAATATTTGGTTATTAGAATAAATTTTACCAAAAAAGAAAAAAGAATTGTCAGAGTAAAGTGTTTTAATAAAGACAAATAGATATATGTCCTAATAAAGTTTATTCACAAAATAAATAAAGTACAAAAATTGCATGTTGAATGTGAATAGTATTATTTATTAATTAAAATTAATATTTTACATTTAAATTTTGATTATAAATAAAATATTTGTTATGGTGCTCTTAAAATTAAAAAATATTATATAATTTTCTTAAATAAAAGATGATTTTTTAATATTTTAAAAATAAAAAATTATTTATTTTAAAATAAATTATTAATCTATTTAATAAAAAAAGTAGAATATTCTTAATTTTAAAAAATACAGCAAAATTTATCATAAATAAACCTCTTACATGTAAAATAATTTAAACTGTTAATTCTATATGATAGATAATAGAATTAATGGTATAATCACAGCAAGCTCCATAAATTATTACAGAATAAAATTTTGGTGAAAAGGCCGTGGCACATGACAGTATCCCAGTAAAGCGAAAGCAATATAATGGCACAAAATATAGGACATGTGGTGCTCGCTAGTTATTTTAATCTGAGCAGATGCAGATTCGTGTTTCGATAGATTCTGTGGACAAGCAGCAAGGCAATATTTAGGACAATGATTTCAGTTCATCTGATTTTGTGTTGAAAAATTAATACCATTTAGTCAAAATGTAGCCTAATGCCAATCTGTTTTTCTTTTCCCCGTTGAGATGCTGACACTTTTAGTGTTATCCAAATAAACAGGCACATATATATATATTCTTTCTTTTTCATTAATAATTAAATTTTTTTACATTATCATTTGAACAACTTTATAATAATAATAGTTGAAATTTATATCTACAATGCCTTTCCATACACTAAAATTGAACCCTATTATATATTTGATCCTTAATTAAAGTCAAATAGTTACTCACTCATAATTTTGCCGATTCATAAATATCTGCAGCAATCTTAAAAGCAACCAGAACACGTACTGCCATCCATCGTTATTATTATTTACCATTGAGGATTGAGTTATTATTATTGAACAAAAAGACAAACCGTTATTCTTTGAAATTTCAAACATCCACAATGATAAATAAAAGTCAAGATCTGATTCTAAATGTTTAGACTAATGATTACTAGCTAAAAGCAACTTTTATCCCTGGTGATGCCTACATTTCACTTTACTTACAGTGACACATTTTTAATTTCAAAGTTAAGAAAACTTATTTTAATTTTTTTAAAAAAATTGAGTAATTATATAAAATATCTTAAAATAAGTGTTTTGATAAGGTAGGCGCACAACTAGAAACATGACACTGGAAAATAGCACAAGGCAAAAGAACAACTACTTGTAGTTCTAGAAGCGTGGTTCGCATGGACCTTATTTTATTAGCATTAATGATCCACCCCACAAGCAAGCCGAATTTAAAAAATAATACAATTCCTTTCACACCACACTAAATGTCAAGACCCCACTCTCCCATTTTCATATTTCATTCCACCTTTCTTGTGTTCCCACATCGTACCCACCAATAACCCAGTTTTGTTCAATCACTGAAGCATCATCGACATGCTTCTTCGTGCATCATCATCATCATGTATGAGCTCTAGTTAGCAGGTTACACTTGCACCAATTCATCATAAAGTAATCTTAAGTTTCATGAGTGTAACATCATACCCCATATCATATCATTTGAACTTGAACATGTCTTCTTCTCTTTCCTGGCTCACCTCACCCTCATGTTCCCCTTTGGCCATAGATTCATCTTCTTCTTCTTCTTCACAACTCTTAGCTCAGTGGTTAAGGTTTATCTTCCTATCTCCATGTCCTCAGAGACTTATTCTTTCTGCTATTGATTTTATCTTTTTGGTCTTCCTATTAGCCTTTGCAGCTCAAAAACTCTATTCTCGGTTCACTTCCAATGTGAACTCTACCTCCACCGTCACCAAACCCCTTTTGCAAGAAAAGGATTCTGACTACAAAGTTACCTTGTGGTTCAAACTATCCTTCTTGGTGACCACCCTTTTGGCCGTAGCTTACACGGTTCTAGGCATCTTGGCTCTCACACAAAGCAACCTTGCTTCATGGAAACTGATAGAGGCACAGTTTCGGTTCTTCCAAGCCGTAGCCTACATAGTGATAGTGATTCTATTGGTTCACGAGAAGAAGTTCAAAGCTTCAAAGCACCCTTTATCATTAAGAATCTATTGGACAGCAAACTTGGCGATTGCTTGCTTGTTTGCTGCTTCAGCCATTGTTCGAATGGTAACTGTTGATGAAACAAGATTGGAGCTTAGTTTGAGAGTGGATGACATATTCTCATTGATTAATCTTCCATTATCTTTGTTCCTTTTCATAGTATCCATTACAGGGTCATCAGGGATTCAAGTAATCAGAATATCTGATGTAGTAGGAAGGACAAATCAGTGGCTTTCCAGCGATAGAAATTTGAGTCCTTATGCCTATGCCCCGTTTTTCTCCAAAGTAGTGTGGTTTTGGATGAACCCTTTGCTGAGTAAAGGGTACAAATCACCCCTCAAGCTTGACGATGTTCCTACACTTCCTCCAGGGTTTCGAGCTGAGAAGATGTCCGAAATCTTCCAAGGCAATTGGCCAAAGCCAGAGGAAAACAGCAAGCACCCAGTTGGACTCGCATTGTTTAGGTGCTTCTGGAAACACATAGTCTTCACAGGCTTGCTTGCATCTATGAAGCTTGCAGTTATGTACGTTGGTCCAACGCTTATTCAGAGTTTTGTTGACTACACCTCGATGAAAAACAGCACTCCCAGTGAAGGTGTTTATCTGATAGCTATCCTGTTTTTGGCAAAATCAGTTGAAGTCCTAAGTGTACACCAATTCAATTTCCACTCGCAGAAACTAGGCATGCTCATTCGTTCCAGCATCATAACATCAGTCTACAAAAAGGCTTTGAGGTTGTCAAGTTCTTCAAGACAAGCTCATGGAACTGGCCAGATTGTGAACCACATGGCTGTTGATGCACAGCAACTCTCAGATTTGATGATGCAGTTTCACCCCATATGGATGATGCCATTGCAAGTTGGTGCAGCTTTGGCCCTTATCTATAGCTGTGTTGGCTTGTCTGTGCTTGCAGCACTTCTTGGAACTACCGTGGTTTTTCTCTTCACTCTATTTCGCACCAAGAAGACCAATACCTTCCAGTTCAGGATTATGAAGAGCCGTGACTTGAGGATGAAGGCAACAAATGAGTTGCTTAACAACATGCGTGTGATTAAGTTTCAAGCATGGGAGGAGTATTTTGGCAACAAAATTGCGGAGTTTCGCAAAGCCGAGCATGGTTGGATTGGCAAGTTCTTGTACTATTTTGCAATTAACATGGGGATTTTGTCCACTGCTCCCTTGACGATAACTGTTCTTACATTTGGAAGTGCAACTTTGATGGGGATTCGTTTGAATCCTGGCACTGTGTTCACAATAACTTCAGTGATCAAGATTCTGCAAGAGCCTGTGAGGACTTTCCCTCAGGCTCTTATGTTGATTTCTCAAGCATTGATCTCTCTTGGGAGGTTGGATGAGTTCATGATGAGTAAGGAAATGGATGACAATGCAGTGAAGAGAGAGGATAGTTGTAATGGTGACATAGCTTTGGAGATAAAAGATGGCAAGTTCTCGTGGGATGATAAGGATGGGAACGTGGCTCTTAGTGTTGATGAGTTGGTACTTAAGAAAGGGGACCATGCTGCAATTGTAGGAACTGTTGGGTCAGGCAAGTCTTCTTTGTTGGCTTCTGTGTTAGGGGAAATGTTCAAGATCTCAGGAAAGGTATACTCTTACTTTGGACTTGCATTTTTGTCCACTACCAAGTTAGGTGTCTCTTGTTGCATTGAAGCATAGTTGCTGGTGCATTATTGTGTTCATAGATTTTTTATTTATCTCTCTCTTCATACATATTCACAAATTTTGACAAGGCCTCAAGCATTTAATGATATGAAGAGAGAGAGACACAATTTTTTCACATGATTATGCTATTGCATACATTTTTTATAACCATAATATGGTTTTAGTTATTCATCAGAATTAGCAGAAGCTTTATTGGTTGTCGATGCATATCTGAATCTCTTTTAAACAGTGAAATTGGTTGCAGAGGCTCTTCAACAGCACATTTAAAAGAATTTTGTCATTTTATATGATCATTACTTTCTTTTTTATTCTAATCTCTTAAATCTTATAGGTCAGAGTTTGTGGGAAAATTGCCTATGTAGCACAGACATCATGGATTCAGAATGCAACCATCCAAGATAACATATTGTTTGGTTTACCAATGAACAGAGAGAAGTACAGGGAAGTTATTAAAGCATGCTGCCTGGAAAAAGATCTTGAAATGATGGACTATGGAGACCAGACTGAGATTGGAGAACGGGGTATTAACCTCAGTGGTGGCCAGAAGCAACGTGTACAACTTGCTAGAGCTGTGTACCATGACTGTGACATTTATCTCCTTGATGATGTATTCAGTGCTGTTGATGCACAAACAGGATCATATATTTTTAAGGTAAGAAAAAAACTACAAACATTGCCGCAGAATAGCTTGAGTTACTTCAACATTTTTTAGTTTTGAGTGATATAATATTTCTCGTAAAATTTAAGTGCAGGCTCAATCCAAGAGTGTGTGAGAGAATGGGCTTAAACTTGATCCATCCATTTGTCTAAAGGAGAAAAAACTTAAGATGTTGTTCTATTGGTGCTATTCGTCCTATTTATCACCTAAAATTAGAGTTTTGTTTCAATAAAATATTTATATTATATGTTATCGCAAATTATTGAGGTTAAATTACCTAATTTTGATTGACAAACAAGTAACAACACTAACAATACTTAAATAACTGCACCTAAGTTTTGTCCTTGTCTAGAAAGTCTTAACAATTTAGACTAATGACCCTCGTATTCATGTACTCATCTTGTTGCTAACCTACTAATGTAGACAGAGTATCCCAACTTGTTGCTATAGAGAATATACGTAGAAAGAGGAAACCTATAATCACATCAAAACCAGGAAATATTTTGCCATAACCATTGGATCAATCGGCATGACGTTGCCTTCCATTATAAATTAATTGCCTGCTATAATACAATTACAAATAATTAGGTTCCTGATTTCTTTACCTTGTTGCAGGAATGTATCATGGGAGCTCTCAAAAATAAGACAATTTTACTTGTTACCCACCAAGTTGACTTCTTGCATAACGTTGACTCTATAATGGTACGTATACATATACTCACAAGTCTCTCACACGAAAGTGTTTGTCTGTTAATGATGGTTCAATTCAATTTCATGTAAGTTAAGTTATCTTACTCAGTGACAGTACTCATTAATTAGTTGGTATATATATTCCATCATGCATTACGCATTCTTGAATCCTATTATTCTACCCTGTTATTATAAGATTTATTTTATTGAATTAAGCATAACTTCCGCTTCAAAGCTCCTGATTACATGTTCTGCTAAAATAACCTTAGCTAGTCTTTCAACTGAGCACATTTGCTTGTTTTTTATGCCAACATGTAGGTGATGCGAGATGGAAGAATAGTGCAAAATGGAAAGTATGATGAACTTCTCAAGGCTGGTCTGGATTTTGGTGCACTTGTGGCTGCACATGAATCCTCAATTGATATTGCAGAAACAAGTGATGAAGTTGGTGTTTCTTCTGCTCAGTCTCCAAAATTGGCTCGTATTCCTTCAAAAGAAAAGGAAAGCAATGGCGAAATGCAGGCTCAAGATGAATCTAAGTCTGATAAGACTAAAGCAAATCTCATTGAAGAAGAGGAAAGAGAAACAGGCCGTGTGAACCTTCAAGTGTATAAACATTATTTCACTGAAGCATTTGGGTGGTGGGGTGTTGCACTCATGCTGGGAATGTCTCTAACTTGGATTATATCTTTTTTGATTGGTGATTACTGGCTAGCAATTGGAACTGCAGAAGATTCTGGCGTTTCTCCTCCTACATTCATTATTGTCTATGCTGTGATAGCAGTTGTTGTTTGTATTGTGGTCATGTGCAGATCACTCCTATTTACATATTGGGGTCTGAAGACATCTCAAAGCTTCTTCACTGGAATGCTTCAAAGCATCTTGCATGCACCAATGTCATTCTTTGACACCACTCCTTCTGGCAGAATTTTGAGTCGAGTGAGTTTAAACATCCTTTTTAGTGTTAATTTATGTTAGTAAATAGCATACTAGTTTTTCTAACCTACACAGCAATACATAATAAGAACTATAACTTATATACAGTAAGCTTTTATTGAAAATACAGAATTTAATACGATTCCATTAACTGATACTATTAAATTATATAATTTTTAATAAAAACTTACTATTTATTAATTTTTTATTATCTACAATTCTGCATAAGTTAAAAAAATTGACAATATTTACTAGCATATTCTTTAAATAGTAGTGTTGGGACTTACTATCATTTTTCTTCATGAATGTTTAGGTATCGACAGATATACTTTGGCTTGATATATCAATTCCAATGTTAACAAACTTCGTAATGGTCGCTTACTTCTCATTAATCAGCATCCTCTTTGTCACATGCCAAACTGCTTGGGAGACTGTCTTCCTCTTAATTCCACTGTTTTGGCTGAATAACTTTTATCGGGTATGATATGTCTACTTACCCTTATTTGATTAACTAATTATGATTTATATTTGAATTTTGGTAAATAATGCAGAGACTTGTCTATTTTTAATCCTTTCGAATATCATGTATTTCCTAATTCTAAGAAGTCACAGTCTAGTCTTTATAAAATGTTTTCCCTTTCCATAGTAGTCTTTATGTTATTCTCCAAATTTTGTGTCTATTAAGTACCAGTTTGCTTATTTCATCTAAATATTAAGAGTCTTTTTTTATTTAGTCTCATAAATATTATTATTTTTAAAATAGAGAACCAAATCAAAGATTTATATTGTTTAGAAGAATCAGTAATATATTTAGTCATATTGTATCACATGATCTTTGTGCACAGTTGGTGCAGAGGCCTTATTGAACAAAATTTCTGGTGCTAGTGCATTTTGACACATACTTTGTCCTGGTTTGCAGAAATACTTCCTTGCATCTTCTAGGGAACTGACTCGACTTGATTCTATCACAAAAGCTCCTGTGATACATCACTTTTCAGAAACCCTTGCTGGTGTTATGACAATCCGTGGCTTCAGAAAGCAGAGCGCATTTTCTCAGGAAAATATTGACAGAGTCAATGCAAGTCTACGGATGGATTTCCACAACAATGGTGCTAATGAATGGCTTGGTTTTCGCTTGGACTATATGGGAGTTATTTTCCTTTGCATATCCACTATTTTTATGATCTTTTTGCCAAGTGCTATCGTGAAGCCAGGTATACTCCACTTCATGTTTTGGCTTATACCAACTATAATGCTAAAACGGGACATCATAATCGATAATCAATCCACTTTTTTCATAAATTTTATTTTGGATAAAATACACTAATATTCTCACTTAGTTTTATCCCTTCTATATTTTTTTGTCACTTAACTCCTATAATGCTACATATCACTTTATATATTGACAAAAAGAAATATTGCATATGAGATGTATTAAAAAAGCATGAGACTACATAGGGTAAAGCATAATTTACCTTTTATTTTATAAGATGAAAGAATTATTTATAAATGAGATCTCATGCATACTTAACATTTAGAGATAAATATTACTGATCAAGAATTATTCCACTTGTTGCAGAATATGTTGGTTTGTCTTTGTCCTATGGCCTGGCTCTCAGTAGTCTCTTGTCATTTACCATATCTATGACTTGCTCTGTTGAGAACAAAATGGTTTCTGTTGAGAGAATAAAACAGTTCACCAACCTTACGCCAGAAGCTCCATGGAAAATTGCTGATAGGACTCCTCCTGAGAATTGGCCCAGTCAAGGCAGTATTGAGTTGAATAATTTGCAGGTATATATATAATAGTCACAAACAGCTAAATACACTGTTTTCAAGAAAATTAATCTTGGGGCAAAATGTTTGTTTCAAAATTAAAGATGCTAAGCAGCATGAAAGGTTGAAATTAAGATATGTACAGATGGTACATAGAATTTGCATACATAAGAAAATATTTGAATTGAAAGGAGATTTGATCAATTTTTTATGCATAAAAATGTAGACATGTAGTGCAATTTAAACTTGATTTTTTTTTTTTAAAGTAATGGAACTGATGAACTTCTCAGAGAGGTTACCTGTCAGTATATAAATTTTAACTATCTAGCAATTAAAAATCATCATAGATATGACTTTTAAAATAATTATTACAAAAATTAATAATGTTTTGATGGTGGTGAGCAGGTACGGTATCGACCAAATACTCCTCTAATTCTGAAGGGAATATCTCTCAACATTGAAGGAGGAGAAAAGATTGGTGTTGTTGGGCGTACAGGAAGTGGGAAATCAACCCTTATCCAGGTGTTATTTAGGTTGATTGAGCCTTCAGCTGGGAAGATAATTGTTGATGGGATCAATATTTGCACTGTGGGCCTTCATGATCTTAGGTCTCGACTTGGAATTATTCCTCAAGAGCCTGTCCTCTTTCAAGGAACAGTAAGAAGCAACATTGACCCTCTTGGACTGTATTCAGAAGAAGAAATTTGGAAGGTACATAATTTAAGTATGTTTTTTCTTTAAGTTCACAATCCTCTTTGATTTTATGATAATGTATGTGTGCACTAAAAAAGGGAAAACTAGAGTAAAAGAAAATACATGTTATTTTGGTATGGTTTTTTTTATCTAGACTTGAGTTAATGATTTCAGCTTCTCATAACTAATAATAATCTCGCTGTTTAATTTTGTTGCTGCAGAGCCTTGAACGCTGCCAACTGAAAGAAGTTGTGGCTTCAAAGCCTGAGAAACTTGAGGCTTCAGGTATTAACTCCTCTCATAAATCTCTCTTTAATAGTTTAGTTTTCTTGACATGTGTCAAGGACACATTAAAAATCTATATATAATAAGCTTTTATTGGAAGTCATATGATATCACAAGATTCAATGCATTGACAATATCAATTGATATAATATTCAGTATAAAATTACTATTTATTTATTTCTTGTCGTGTTCTTGTATACATGTTCGAAAAACTATTAATAGATTAGTCCAATGTGGCTAAAAAGGATTGCTAAGGTATTTTTATTGCTTTATGATGTTTTACCTTGAGTTGGTGACAATATGGGTTGACATAATTTACTTTACTATTCCTTAGTGGTTGATGGTGGAGACAATTGGAGTGTGGGGCAAAGGCAATTGCTATGCTTGGGAAGGATCATGCTAAAACGCAGCAAAATACTATTCATGGATGAAGCTACAGCATCCGTTGATTCACAAACTGATGCTTTGATACAAAAGATCATTCGTGAGGACTTTGCAGAGCGTACAATTATCAGCATTGCTCATAGAATACCAACAGTCATGGATTGTGACAGGGTTTTGGTCATTGATGGAGGTATGATTTTGTTATTCATGCTTACTAGCTTCTGCATAAGGAACTTACTTAAGAATAATAATCAAAGTCACGTAAAGTTACCTTCTCAATTACTAGTTAAAATTTATTAAAATTATAAGTAAAAATTATTGAATTAAGAGTAAAACAAATGATTTTTTATAAATTTTCAGCTAATAATAATTAAAAGTGTGTTAAAAAAGATGTTATTATGGTTTCTCTATATATTGCTTCTTTTGTGTGTCTATATTTGGCCACTTAAAAAGATAATACACATTTTAAAATATATTAATATGCTTAATTATATTAAAATTATCTTTAATTTCTTATATAACTTCCATCATTATTACTTTCTTATGTATACTAAGTGTACAAAATATTTAAGAATTAGGTAAAAACAAAAAAATAAATATCAATTAATATTATCTTAAACTTTTAAATAAATTATTAAATACAAAATTCATTTTAAAATAGACAGATAAAAAAAAATATTTTTCCAAAATTCAAAGAAATAGTTCAAGGGATTTTCCCTTCAATAATGAGTTGTGGGGTATTTGATGTTTTTGACAGGTTTTGCAAAGGAATTTGACAAGCCATCACGTTTGCTAGAAAAGCCTTCACTTTTTGGGGCATTGGTTAAGGAATACTCCAATAGATCAGCTTAACTACGGCTGTTTGCTATTGCTTGGATTCTAACCGATGACACAAATAATGTACTAAATTTCCAACATGCGACAACAAAGACGAAGGCACATGTCTACAGCTCCAGTTATTGTTGTGTTGTAGATCAATTTTTTGATGCTTTAATTTGTCTAGGATTAAATGTAAGAGAATTTAAATTACTTGGATATTGAAATCTAGTTTGCCTGCAATTATTTTTAAAATATATATATTATCTTGACGTGACTATTCTCTCTCCCTACCTCTACGAGAAGCTATTTCAAAGCAATTCAAGCATGAATATTGACCTTCAAAAACAATTATTTTTTTTAATACAATAGAGTATTTTAAGTACTGTATAGATAATTTTAATTTAAATATTTTTATAACAATACAAATTGCACATTTAAAATTTTTTTAATAATTATACATGATTCATTCAAATAAAAATATAAATAATTATGAATTGTTCTATCATTTTTTTTTGTTAGTTTTGTTTCAAACATTAGATAAGATAACTATAAGATTATATATTTTATTATACTAATACGCACAAATATAACAAATAAAAGTATATTGTATTCTTAACATACTCTATCATTCTATCCTATCAAATATAGCCTTCATTCTTCTTTTTTATAATTGAAAACCCAAAATTTTAATAAGATAAAATTTAAATTTTAATGAAAATTAAGACAAAAATACTCCACACCCTTTCTTTTTTACTTCCTTACTCTTTTTTCTTTCGTTTTTTTTTTTTTTCTAACTTAACAAACTTAAAGTTTAGAAGAAAGAAAAGGCCAAATTTTGAATTTTGTGTTGGATTTCTACAATTCCAGAAAGAGCCAAAAAAACATAGATTTGTTTAATTAATAAATTTACTTCTTCTGTGTCAGAAGCCAAAAATATATTCAGTCACTGCAGCAGAAAGGCTGAGAGTGAACATAATACACGCAGGCCACCAATTTCCGTGCGTTACTGCACTGCATGTCGAATCGTACATCCAATCGAAGTCGCGCGTTTCGTTTAGGGTTTTTCCACCCCTCAGAAAAAAAACCCTAATTCCCCAAATTCACGTGCTGGACATGATTGTTCTTCTTCTTCAAAATCCCTTAGAATTTGGAATTCGAACCGTAAATGGGTGTCATGACTAGTAACCGTAAGCGTCCCGAAGAATGCATGAACGTTAATCACACCAATTCTGATTCCCACAGGAAAAAACCCAAATTATCGACCCGACCCGTTTCTTCCTCGAACAACGTCGTTTCCCGAATTTCCCGGTACCCGGAGACCAAGTTACCGTTGGCGAGGGAGGTTCACGCGCCGTGCAGGCCCCGAAAATTCGAACTTTGGAGGTTTAGGGCTAGGGCTAGTGCCGGTGACGACATGGGCAACGCTCTATTCGGAAATTACGAGAAGGCGAAGTTTTCGGCATTGTCGAAATGCAAGTTTTTGTCGCATAAAGGGAAGGAGGTGATAGATGTGGACGCAGAGAGTGAAGAACCTCGATTCCGGTCATACGAGGTTTCGGGAGATTCGAGTGTGGAAGAGGTGGTTGCGGTGAGTGATGATGATGATGACGATTTGGGTGACAAGGTTAGGGTTCAGCAGCAGTCAACGTCTTCGTTGGATTCAGAGTTGACCAATGGGAACTTGAAGGTTGTGAGTGGTGGAAAGGTGTGGGGTTCTGAGATTCATGATCTTTCGAGTGTTCATGTGTATAAGAAGTTGCTTGAGGCTGTTGGGAGGAGAAGTGACTCCATTAAGAGGTTGGATTTTGAAATTAAACTGAATGAGAAGCGCAGAGACACTTATAATTTGTTGCGTCCCAAGAAGGAATCAGTGGAGGTAATCATGGTGCGTTGTTTAACACTTACAAATCTTGTTTTTCATTGTTTGGTTGTTTAGGCCTTGTTTTTGTTACTGAGTGAGTGATATTGTAGTGGTTTGTTCTTTTTTGGGCCATTTTTTATTTATGGAAATGTTTTTTTTTTTATAAAATGTTCATTTTGTTTTCATTTTATTTCTATCTTTTTGGGGGGCATGCATTTATTTATGGAAATGTTATATTTTTGTTATAAGAAAGTTCATTTTGTTTTCATTTTATTTATATATAGTTTTTGAAGTTTTTTTTCTCCAATTGTATTATGGATTTTTTAAAACGGGAAATAAAGTGAAATGATGTGGTGTTGATGAAATTATTAATGAAACAAAATGGAAACGTTCAATTTTTATTACTAATGCTTAGCAGTGGCTTGGGGTGGTTGGTTTAGGAATGAGAAACAGGCTAAATGTTAGAGTAATTTACCCATGTGAAACTATGGCTTTCAGGAAGTGCCACATGAGCCTTTTGTCTCACTTACAACTGAGGAAGAAGATGAGGTTAAACGCGCCTTTTCTGCCAACTGGTATACTTTGATGATTTTGCTTTATGTCAGTGAGAAGAGTTTAATCTGTATTGTAGCTTATTGAGGGCTTGCTTCTGCAGGAAGAAGATTTTGGTTACCCATGAGAGTTCTAATATTGAGATCACAGGAGAAAAGTTTCAGTGTCTTAGGCCAACTGCATGGTTAAATGATGAGGTGGGCTTGTTTGCTTATTATTTTTTAATCCTTTTGTTGAGTTACTGAATAAGAGAAGAATTTGGTACCTACTGTTCCATGTTTTGACATTGTTGTACCATTGAAATTCAGTGATGGATTTACCTTTATTGTGCAGGTGATAAATTTATACCTTGAGTTGCTGAAAGAGAGGGAGCAAAGAGAACCACGGAAATTTCTGAAATGTCATTTTTTCAATACCTTTTTCTACAAAAAGGTAGAATACCCTTCACATGATTTAGTGTTGACTTAGAAAAACAATTTCCTCCTTCAGATGACTACCGTTGTTAAGGAGAGGAAGCCATTTTCCTTCTCTTGAAGCAGTCTATATTGTTGACCAATAAAAGACATTTGAATTTTGTTTCAAACAGGAAACTGTTCATCGATTGATGCTCCAAAACCCTGTATGTGTATGTGCATAGATGTGGAGAATGCTAAGCTCCAAACCTCTGTGATCGTGTGTAGTTTAGCATTCTCCTTATTTAGTTGGACCAAAAAAATCTGTTCAAGGTTTTGGACTCCATACTCATAGTAGTGAGTATTTTAGTCTATTTCAAGTTACATTTATTTCCTGATAATTCTCTATTTCCTATATCTCCTGCAATTGCAAACTCCTCTATAATGAAAAAACTAGCACCTTTTCATTATCAAATGCCTGAAAATAGACTTCATATTTTATCCTTTTTCTAAGATTTAAATATGCATCTCTGATGCTAACTTTGTCACATTTCCTTGTGAGGCACAAGGAAGAACAAAAGATTTCTTCATTCACCCAGTTTTTTTTTTTTTTAAATCCTGACTTTGAGGTCTGTCGTTTTGACACTATGCACCTAAAACTGAGTCTTGATGGAGGCTTCCCATTCAATAATACTGCAGTAAACCTGGCATTAATAAAAATCTGGAATTTACCATATTAAAAATTGTTGAACTTCATTAAATGCATATTTGGTTCTGCAAATTTTGAAGAAATAGCCACTTATTTTTGCCCACTTCCTGTGAGAACTTTTGGAAAGAAAAAAGCTATTATTTTTCCAAAATGATCATTTCCTGAGCAATAGCATACTATAATGACTAAGTAAAAAAATTAGAACTACCTTGTTTACCCATTTTATACCACGGTGGTATATTTAACTCCTTTTTAATATTTTACAATCTCAACTATTGTATTGTACTCAAATTGCATGTATACAATGCTCATGAAACATTGCTTTAAAATGAAATTGCTTTTTATGGCATAAGCATCTAAAAGTTGAAACTATACCCTGTTTTATCACTTCTAATTTAGCTTTTTGGAACCTTAATATGCATGATTGGCATGGAAATTATGCATAATTAAGTGATTAGATTTATTAAAAAGCCTATTCTATAAGGAGTATTAGATGATTTAGTTATTGGTGTAATCATGTCATATTCATTCCTTAGGGCTATCATGCCTCTGCCATTCTTTTAATAAAAATTATAGACCTAACCCTTTAAAATGTTATTTTGTACCCCCAGAATTTATATTTTAATTCCTCTACTGGATGTCAGTGCCATTGTTATATTTATGTCAACAAATCCTAAGTCATTTATGTATTTCATGAAATAAATGGAACCCCAATGACGTGGACCCTTAATATTTGGATTAATCTTTAGTGCTTGCTACAGTACTCCTAAACTTGAGGGAATATTAAATACTCTCTCTAGATTATACTAATATATTAAAAGATATTTATGTCTTTTCTAAATATACCACTAACTCTTACTAAAATCAACGGTTATGATTGTTCTATATATAAAAGAGCATAGAATACTTTTTCATTTCTCAGAGCACTAGAGAATTTACCTTAATCTTTCCCCTTTCCCCTGTTCTGTTTCAGTTTCACTAGCACGGTTTAGAAATAGCACTGTGCTTCAGCCTAGTGCTTCTCTACTTTAATCTATAATTGTCCAAAATTTATCTGTTACTCTATTGCTTTTGATGGCAATTTCTTTAAGTTTGACACTCATTAATGTAATGAATGTGACACCTCCTCCAGGACATAAATGGTAAGTATGGGATGTCATACATATGATATGGATTTTATCTATATTTGTAATTGTGATATTGGTCAGAAATTTATTCTTTTTATTTTGAATGTTATTGCAGTTAACTAGTGGTAATAATGGTTATGAGTTCAAGTCTGTCAGAAGATGGACGAGCCAACGGAAATTGGGATATGGTCTACTTGAATGTGATAGAGTAATTGTGTTGGAACTAATTTTTCATTTTTCTTGTAGCCAATTGAATTGATTTTCACTTTTCATACTGATCTTTTACCTGATTTATTGTTAATACCAGATATTTGTACCTATCCATCAAGAGATACATTGGTGCCTGGCAGTTATCAATAAGAAAGAAAAGAAATTCCAGTATCTTGACTCGCTGAAAGGAAGGGATAGTTATGCGCTAACAGTGCTGGTAAAGTTTTTGGTCAATGTAGTTTAGCTGTAAATTCCATATTCCAAGATGTATAATAATTAAAGGATATTAGAAGTAATGAAAGTTGGAACTTTCTTTTTTTTTTTTGGTTTCATTCATTAATGTTTTTATACAACATAAATTTGTAGTTTGGTTTGCTTCTTTTTTTTTTCCCTTTATTATATCTCTTGCAATGTGGGAAGTTTTTGGGCCTAAGATCACGCCAAAAGGCGTAGTCCATGGACAACAGGTGAATATTCCTGTACTACCCTTTGTTGGTCCCGAGGGACGAAGGAGGCTAAGTTAACCGAAAGATGGTTATTGGTTATAAAATCTTTTTCTAAAAATAAAAATTATATAAATCAAATCATATTCTATATATTTCTATATATAAATATATGTATTTGAATAATATATATGAATAATATAAATTTGGATAATAAGAAAAATGTTATTAAAAAAAAAGAATAAATCTTAGAGGTAGATATTATTTATATCTCAAATGTTGCTTGTGGATTAAATTTCTGTTGAATTTTAAAACACACCAAGCACTAGTTGCTTTGTCAACTTGGTTGTTGAGTCAAACATAATTGTGATGTGTTTGATGGGTTTAAGATCTTTTTTGTCTATTTAATGTCCCAGTTATTGACAACTTATGTAGATCAACGATAAAAAAATGCATCTTTAATACCTTGGTCAAGTAATTAACAATAAAATACATGGATTCCAAAAGAAAACAAGCTGTTACATTTGTTGACAGGTAGCATATAAAATGATTGAAATGAATAAAGTTGGAGATAAAATAAAAAATTTATAATATTAGAGAAGCAATTTCAGTCAAGGTTTCACATAAGATCAACTTAAAGAGAAATAGAAATTAAATTAACTGATAAATTGGAAATAAAATAAAATAAGAGAGTTAATCTAATTAGCAAATAAACTATGATTATTGCTTAAACTTCTGCACTTTGGAAGTTTGTCTGTGGTATAAGTTTAAACATCTAACAGATAAAAATGATTGAATACACTTGGTAGATTAAGCGAACAACAATGAAAAATAAGGAATAGAAAAATTATATGTTAGAAAAACAATTGCAGTGGAGGTTTGGCATGAAATCAACTTAAAGAGAAATCCAAATTAAATTAATAGGTAAACTGGGAAATGAATATAAAATAAGAGAACTACCAAATTAACAATTAAACTGTAATTATTGCTTAAACTTCTATACTTTGGAAGTTTGTCTGTGGTATATGAATTTAAACATTTAACATTTAGATAATTGATTTATAATTATATACAATGTAGATATAAATCTGTTCCTTTAGCATGCAGCGGATTTATTCCTGCTAATTTTAAATTTGAATTATCTTCAATTTCAAGCTACTTTTTATAGCAACAAAATTTGATTATGTGATGAAAACTGTGTGTTGCTTTATGGGTGTTGTGAATTGATCTTGTTTTTTAAATTTTAACACACCAAATAATTATAATTTGCTTTGGTCAGGTGCAGGCCTTTGTCTTGCCTTTGGTGCCTAAGTGTGCTTTACACTTTGTAAAACACCAGAGGTAGCCATTGTGGCAAGCATACTGACGTAAGATATTCATGTATTACATTTGGCTATTGTTAGGTTTATCTAATGTTTGCCATTGATGTCTCCAGGCTAGATATTTTGTGGATGAAGTAAAGGACAAGACTGGAAAAGACATTGATGTACAAACTTGGGAAAAAGAATTTGTTGAAGACCTTCCTGTGCAGGAAAATGGGTTTGTATTCTGATCCGCAAATCACTTTATGAGATATCATTGATATATTGTTTTAGAGAGCTATTCCTAGGGCCTTACTTCATGGAAGTTTGAATATTTCTGTTCCTCTAAAGTTAATACAATGTCAATCAATTGATAATAATTACTGGTATTAATGTGCATAGCTCTTGTTCACCAAAACTTGATAGTATGGAAATGCTCTAGAGAGTTTTTTCAGTGGAGTAATTGATTAATTTAGGAAACTGAAACTTGATCATGAAATGGATTTGTTGGACAAAAGCTTTCTGCATTGAAAAGAGATATTGTAACCTTTTTTATCTGCATTTTTGTGGAAGAGCTTCTCTAATTTGAGCTTGGAACTTGGAAGAGATGAAAATGAAATATTTTGACATCAATAATTTCTACATTTCTAGTACCTGAGTACCTGCTCTATTTTTATTCCTTACTTCTTCTCTCATCCTTTGCACGTCCCAAGTTGTTAGGATTGGTTGCAACTCTAAACAATTTAGCAGCAGTTTTGTCAATTATTTTCTAAACAAAGTTTCTTATATTTGAACAGGTTTGATTGTGGAGTGTTCATGATCAAATATGCTGACTTCTATAGCAGGGGCCTGGGGCTGTGTTTTAACCAGGTAGGATATGAAGTGTTTCATTTGTAGCAGGAAAAATTATGCCTTTATTTTCTATATATTTTCTGAAATATTTTCCTTTTTGTCAAGTCTATAACTAGTCATTCTTGTGTTCAAAACTCCATAGCCATACATCCGTGTTCTTTAATTGCTTGAAATATCTTAAATTCTTTAAAATTGGTAATCATTGTACATTGTACATGGTATGACAAAATTAATCTAATACCAATGTTTCTCTTTCAGAACTTTCTTTAGCACGTTTGATTCAGCTTAAATTTGGGAAAATAATTGCTTATTTTTCAAATGCCTCTCGGAAAGTTACAATTTTTTCTTTAAAATAAGGACAGCAGAGAAAGCCCCTCTTTTTTGTTAGAAATGTTTACATCATTTAGAATTGAATTTCTCATTCCATTTGTAGGAACACATGCCTTACTTCCGGCGTAGGACGGCTAAGGAGATCTTGAGATTGAAAGCTGAATGAGTAAAGAAGTGATTGTCCATCAGCATTCCAATACTTTGTCATGGATCTAGGGTTTTTGGTATAAGAGATTTGAAAAGTCATTAAAGTCTAATTGGCAGCATTTGTTGATGAAGGATATCCTTCACATTTGGCAATGTTTTAACTCTTAACAATAGCCATTGTAGAGTTGCAGCACTTGTTAGGTTGAATACTGAACAGACTTTAGATATGATCATGGTGTTTGGGTACAGCTTGTGGGTAGTGTAGAATGCAGTAGGCTGTATATTGGTATACAAGAGTGATTTATTTATTAGACGAGGCATAGTTTTACGGTTGAGGTGTTATTTTTGTAATGTTAATACCCCCCTCCTCTTTCTATTCTGGTTTGCTCAATGTTATTGTTTGTTCCTGATGCCATGGGAATTAAGAGGAAAGAAAAGAGTGATAATTTCATTGGTTGTGATTATGTCAAGGTTTACGTGATATGGCTGTCCAGTTTATGGTTTTAGATTTATCTCCATTAGTATAAAACTTGCCAAGTCCATTTGTACATCCAAAAATATACGCAATAAGGAGTAAACTTTTGGTTTGGTTCTGAAATTATAAGTATTACTGAAGTATTTGATTTTACAAAATTTTTAAATTTGTGAAGTTTGAGATTAAAGTAAATAGCATTCAAATTTTCGAGGACTAAATCAGAGGTTTAACAAAAAAAAAAAATTGTAACCCAATGTAATAGATCTTTCTCAAGTGACTATTTGCCATTACTGAGTTATATAAGCAAATTTATTAATATAAATTGACATGTACTTCCAAATTTAACAATTACACCTGTTTTCACTAAAGGGAATGGATTCTAATTCGTTTTAGCTACTGTGCTCTTTCTGAAGCAACTTAAACGAGCTCATATTACGATTAATGGAAAGAGTTCAAATTTAACCACGTTTTCGTGTCTCGCAGTATGTATAAATGCACAACCCCCCTCTTGAGAAATTCTCCAGATGATAGAAAGAAAGAAAAAAAAAAAAACATAAGTTGGGAGGGGATTTTATTTTTTGTATCCGCATCATTTTATTTATTTTAGCCTCAACCTAAAAATTTTGGGGCAGCTTTTCTTTTTTTAACAACGGGGTAGATAACCTACATAGATTACATCCAAATTTGCAAAGGCATGAGGGGGCCCCAAAATGTCACACAAGGGCATATACATGACATGTAAGTAAATTCAATTAGAATACATCCAACAAAATATTTATTTATATCAAACAAAACCTTTCAACTATATTGCTAAAAAACAAGATAATACATTACAGATCACATTCAATAAGAAAAGTAGTCTGTTATTAACGGGGAACTCTTTTCCCACTTAGAATTTCTTGTTCTTTTAGTCGATGTTGAAATCTTGCAAGGCGAGCTTGAAGACCCACTAGACTAGCCGCTTTGCGCGAAAGTACAAAGCTTAATTGGGTTACATAGTTATCAATAAGGCTTCCCGGTTGGTCAACTTCTGCCAAAAGTTTCATTTCCTGAAAACCAAGAGCAATACAAGATGAGCACCAAAAATGTCTACAAGTTATCTGAAATTTAAAAATTCTAATATCTTTTTCTATTTCATAAATTTTAAAAATTTAAGGAAACAAAAATAAAAGTACAAAACACACTAGTTCATGTCAAGGCGCTAATTTCTAGTTTCTACTATGGGGCACAAAAAATATGGATACCACAGCAGTACAAAACTCAAGTCGTAAACGGATAAAAGCAATTAGAAATTGAGTTTCACAATTAAATGTAACTTAAACAAGAGCATGTAATTACTCACTTCACGAACAATCTCCATTGTATCCTCAATTTCTTTCCGATGAGCAGCAATTAGTGCTTCTTCCTCCTGCAAAAATACAAGAGTAATTTAAACAGATGGCATAAACAAGTTTATATTGGTGAAGAACAGGTAGTTCCACATATTTGACAAACCTCAAGAACTGCACTTATATTCCCATCAGGAGAAGATTCTGCTTCATAAAGCCTGGATCCTGTGGTAACAGTGTTATAATTCCCTGCGCTCCGCTGCTTCAAGCTTGTAGTGAAGTGATCAGAGCCGTTGGCTTCCCTTTTCATCCAGTTTGCAGGTCTTTCAGAGATTTCATCCTTTGATGCAGTGCTGTAACTCCCTGTGCTCTGCTGCTTGGAGCTTGTAGTGAAGAGATCAGAACCATTGGCATCCCTTTTCAACCAGTTTGTAGCCCTTTCAGACTTTTCATCCTTAGACACAGTGCTATAATTCCCTGTGCTCTGCTGCTTGGAGCTTGTACTGAGGAGATCAGAACCATTGGAATCTTTTTTCATCCAGTTTGTAGGCCTTTCAGACTTTTCATCCTTAGACAGAGTGTTATAAGTCCCTGTGCTCTGCTGCTTGGAGCTTGTAGTGAAGAGATCAGAACCGTTGGCATCCCTTTTCATCCAGTTTGCAGGCCTTTCAGACCTTTCATCCTTGGACCCTTTTCTGCGTGGGGGAGACACTTTTTGCACTTTCTCATCTGTATCACTTTGTGAATAGGAGTTCATCTTTTGACTGGTAGAGTCATTGTGAGAGCTCTTCAGTTCGAACCTCTCCCTGTCCATTGAACCAGAAGCCAAACCTTTTTCCTCTCGCCCATTTAATGGGTAATTTGAAGAAAAATTCAATGGCTGTTTGTCAACAGAAGCAGTAGAGCTGTACAAAGAATTTTCCTTTTCAACAAATTTCCTGCCCATATCCATTGCTTTCTCTAGACGTTGATCATTAAAGTCTTCTGCACCAGAACTAGCTGGAAGGGATGATGCAGATGAAACCTCCTTGTTAGTTTGTGGTACAGGATTTGGGACCTGATCCTTTCTAGGATTACCACTTTTGGATAGACTTTTAACCCTGTCCACATTATGACGGAACAGTTAATATTTGCAAACATGGATAAAAAGAAAGTGAAACTAATGTCAGAGCACATAACAGGGCGACACATACCGATCTGCGTATCTCAAGGTATTAAGTGTGTGTTCACAAGACCCAGCACCTGGAGATATACAAGAGATCATAACAGTCTTTGAATTACCCACAAAGGAGTCACGAAGCACTTCTGTAAGTTTGCTTCCCCGAAATGGAATATGGATCTGGTCATTATCTAAAGCACGAATGCACTCCTTCAATGCCAGAAGGCTCTTATTAATTTCTGCTCCTTCAATCCTATAGCAGAGATGCGTAAAAATTACAGAGTGAATTGATTTGTTAATAAAATAAAAAGTGATTGATATGAAGGAATGGGAGGCCACCAAATCTTGTTTTCAGCAGTTACATCAAAACAACATACTAAAATTGAGATAACAAGTCTCAATGTTTGTCCATTTGATTTATAAAGTAATCCTTCATTGTGCTATTGGGTAGTGCTCAATTTACTATATTAAAGGTAGTTTGAAATTCAAAAACATCAAAGTAATAACTAAAATTATAAGAACTGAAAAGAAAAAAATACATACATAATTTACTTTGAAGTGTACATTTTATATGTACACTATAATATCAGATATAAAATCAGTAGCTATAAAGAAAGGCTTAAAAGAAGTTTGCTTTCAGCCAGAAATATTATCAAATGGAATCAGAACAAATAGACAGTATCATACACATTCTTTAATTAAAAGGGTTGAAGTTTCTTACTACTGTACTCATATTTAAGATAATCATGACAAAGTTGAGTACGAAAGTCAGTAAAAAGGAAAACAGAGCTTTTATCAGCTCTACAGAGATTTTCAATACAGCTTAATATATGCACCCGCAAATTCAGATTATGCACCAAATTGTCTAAATGCATTGTAATGAGGTGTTCAAAACTCTTCAAGCACAGAGGACAGACAATTCAAGAAACCACTATCAAGCAGTTGATTGGTCAAGAGTTTGAAAAATTCAGCGAATAATTTAAATGTAGAAGTACCGTGTCTGTCGATCATTATCAGTAGTGTCAGCACCTCGTTCGCTTCCAGCAAGATCAATAAAAGAAATTTTCCCCACAACCTTCCCATTTCTTGCCTCATTCCCATCATTGTTCCGCTTGTTCTCTTTCACTTCATTGTGCTTCTTTACAGCCAGTTGTAAGATAGCATGTGACCTGGAAGACTCCTCATTAGCACCAGTGGATCCTGTACTTCTTGCAGCATTTCCCTTTTCAATGAATTCTTTGACAATTTGTACATCAGAAACTTCAAATTCTTGCAGTCCTACAATGCAAACTTGCTGCCGTCCATCCTCCCTCATACACAGTTTCCTATTCAGAGTAATACATACAGCCATTCAGTAATATTTACATCCCTATACAAGCCCAAATAAAGAAAAACGAATGCTTGATGTATGATTAAGTTGTGGTGTGACCCTTGTTATTAGAGCAAGTGTTTATTAAAGTAGTTGAATCCTTGACACAAGCATTAAAAATGTTGTCTCCTAATTAAGATCAATATCCATTTATAAAGCACTTCTAACAAAGCAAACACAATGGCTTAAGGACAAACCATATAGCTACACTTTCATCAAATGCATTTAAACAATACCCCAGAGTATTCATATAAAAATCGAATACCCACTTTCTGTCACTAAGAAGATCAAAAAGCTTTCCCCCGTATATCTCAAAGTAGCTAAGCCACAATTTAAATCTCTGATTCCGATAAACTGGCTGATGCAACTGCCGAACAAGGTCTTCCGCAGCTCTGAGTGGTAAAGGTTGCATAGTGTATGTTTTGCCACTTCCTGAAAGCAAAGCATTATTAGCATCAAAACAATGAATGCAAGTGATGGAGTGGGTATCTGAATGGGAAATGAATGAACGATGATGCAAACAATAACGAAGTCAGCTTTGTTGACAAGGAAAATTTTCAAGGATACATTTAAAATCTTCAATTTTAAACTAATTGCATCTACCATCAAGTGCAAAATATCATCGCTATCTAGACCAAAGCTATCAATATCTTCCCACTCTCTCAAATGCTAGAATATATAAAAATATTGATTATATCTTAAAGTATCTTATAATATCCTTTTACATCAGTTTCCTATTTCCTTGGTTTTCCATATTTCCATATATTTCATGATTTGTCTTCCTATTTAGCTAGGATGATTAGTATAAATAAGGCTTAGTGCTTTAGATATTATAAACACATCAGGTCATATTGTAATTATTCAAGGTTTCCTTTCTCTCAATTTCCTCCCTATATACCTAAAACCTCATAATTTAAATAGCAAATGAATATTTTACATATCATGAAAATTTTTGAGATGTTAAATATATAGGCCTATATCATACATGCCACCAGCCAGGACCAACATTACACACCCAGAAAAAAGACAAAGAACTGCATTCTTTTCTTTTCTTCAACAGGCTCTAACACTGATGTTGTATGGAACCAGTGATGAAGGCTATAAAGTATAAACAAACTCCTAAAGTTATACAAGAAAAAAAACACATAAATAGATAATATGAAAAACTAAAAGATTTGAAATGTGATACTGGGTACTGATAGTTTGGTACTAGTACGATATTGATAACATACAAAAAAAATTCTCACCTGTCTGACCATAAGCAAAACAGGTAGCTTTGGTTCGCTGAAAAATTGTAGGAATGATTGGCTCAACTGTAGTTCCGTATACCTGTTATTATAAAAGCCATCACACCTTAAATAAAGCAAACCAAGACCAAGACAGAGACAAACATTCACTTCCATATACCTCAAATACCAGAAATAACAAAGAAACCAATAGATGATAATATCAAGACAATTAGCAAATATCCTACTAGGAATTAATATTAACAATATAATTTAATCTTAGATAAGAGAGGCCTTACTTCATCGTTGGTAACATGTTCATCAAGCACAGCATCAAAACAAAACTCATGCTTCTCCACATAAGCCGTCAAATCAACCTTTTCATGGTAGAACAAGCAATCAGATTGTTGAGCAGTAAATAAAATGAGAACATTAATATATAGATAATTCAATGAGACAGCATTAATTCAACCTTTGAACTGAATATAGTTAAAAATGGAATATTGTGCTGAAATCCAATATCTAAACAAACCTTTAGTTTGGGTTCATGGACTGTCAAATATGCATTGTCAGATACAGTTACAATGTCATCCTCCTTCTTAGCAAGCTCTTTCTTGTTTAAAGGTCTTTTGCGTACCTAAGACGTCCATTAAAAAGGAAATTTTTCAAAAAATTATTGAACTAAAAATAATTACAAATCTCCCTCAAATCTTAATGAATCAAAATTGCATTTTAACTATCAAGGATCTCATGCACAGCATTTTTTTAAAATTAACTAAATGTAAGAAGTTATAAATTAAAAGAAAAATATTTAACCAATAAATTGTTTGAAACATTAAACAAGTATGCATAATTTACATAGAATCTTAAAAATATATATTAAAAGATAGTTTATACATACAGTATGTAGTATTAATTAAAAAGCATTTAAATTAAAAGAAAAAAAAAAGTTAATGTGTCATTCTTTAGGGAAATTAAATCACTCTCAAGAGAGTATGCCCTAATTTAATATATAAAAGTGGATTTGAAAGTAATTAATATGAAAGTATCAGTAGCTAAAATATTAAAAAAAACAAAGGAGAGAAGTCAAACTCCCAATATGTACTTTCTACTTGTTTTCAATGCATAAAAGATGAAGTTGTGCATGTAGAAGATAGGTTACTTGAGTCTATAAAATTTTGACATACCACAACTTTAATCTTAGCAACATTATTTTCCCTGGTGCTATTCTCTTTTTCATTCATGGGTAAGGAAATTGATGCATCAGGATCTGCTTCCCCACTTTCCTTGCTGTTTATTGGATTGAAATCGTCTTCAAATACTCTAGTATCACCAGGCATGAAGGGTGATGGCTCAAAAGGTTCTGAAATCACATGCTGATAAAAGGGAAAAAGAGTTAAGGCTAACAAACACATGCAAACCCAAATCCTTACACACTACTATTGCAAGAAAGTTGAATAAAATGCAGGACTACAAGGGACCACAGAGAATAAACATGCACAATTAAAATAATAACTGAAATAAAAGTGCTAAAGGTAAAGGTTCAGACATTTAGAATCAAGTTACTGTCTACATTGAGGGTTATACTTATATAACCTAGGATTTTCATCATCACCCACACAGATTGCTGCATAAGATGATAAGAACAGTTGCAAAACTTTTCATGAACTGCTAAATTGTACTTGGTCAACTTTATCTGATACATAGATGACAAAATTACATGTTGAACATATTTTCTCTACAAACTGTGGTAAACTAAGTCTATTGTCTCATGTGAATGATCAGGCCACTATGGTACAAAACTAACGAATCATCTTCATACCTCAGACAAAAGCTCTGTATCATCCATAGCATGAAGATCCAAAAGCCCGGCTCCAAAATCACCCCTGAAATCAGGAGAATAAAACCCATCGGACGCAGCCACTCCACCTAAAGTTTGGGCAGTGGGAGTATATGGCTCTGAACCAGATTCCCCATTAAAATTGAGGTTTCTCATCAACTTTAAAAGCCTCTGCTTCTCTTCAGCAGACTGAGCTCCATAACCCTACCACAACATCACAATCATCCAAGTCACCTCATAAACCACCACACAAAGAAAAACCAACAATATCTGGCAAATTTGACCCATACTACACTCAATTCAAGCTTCTAGCAAAAATAAAACGATACACATGACCACCCCTCAAAATGAAGAACAGCTCAAAATCCAGAGAGTATTTATATAACTTACAAGCAAATACTACAAAATTCCAACCTACTCAAAACCTTCATCCAAAACAGGAAAGACCTCACGACACGCATAGTCAACCAAACTCCCCTTTCCCTTTGTCAAGCAAACACCAAACAGAAAACAAACAAACAAATAATAATAATAATAATAATAATAAATCGTTCAAGCAGCAATAGTCTGATATGCTAGTCAACACCTTTTAGGTTTCAAAGTCTAAGCAAAAGAAGGAAATGAAAAGCTAAGTGTTACTGTTATGCATGGAATCATTTCAACTAGCAGAGAAATTAAAGGAAAATTAGAGAAAATGAAAATCGAAGAGGTTGCCGTTATCATAATAGGATACCTGCATGAGAAGGTTGGGGAGGAGTCGATGATCGATGGCGGTGGAAGCGAGGGGAGAGGCAAGATGCTGCAAGCCGGCAGACTGCAACCACCGCGCCATGACGGCGTCGCCGGCATCGGCGGCGTGGTCCAAGAGAGCGGCGGCGGCGGCGGCGGCGGCATTGCCCTGCGGCATCTGGCCACCGACGTGGCGCTGCGAACGTCGTTGAGGCGCCAATTTTCAAGATCTGTTCGCACGCGCTTCGCACCGAAACAAATCATCAAAATTAGGATCACAAATGAAAAATGAAATGTGGAGAAAAAAAAAAAACACAACGAAGCTCACGAGAATAACCTGAAAGTGTGGGAATTGAACAGAGAATGCAACGACTCGAGATCTGCCAAAGGATAGCGATTCAGATCTGAAACCGAGTTCTTCCAACGAGTAACCACACACAATACAAAATGACGATTATGGCAGAACAACGAGAATTCACGAAGAAGAGAGAGAGAAAAAGAAACCCTCTGAATACAAATTTTGTAGATTAATTAAACCTTAAATATCATAATAATGTAATAATAATCACTATCATCATCTCATATTTTCAAAACTATAAAACGGCTATGTCGAAATAAGTACGAGTATGGATTCTCAATTTAATCAAGTGTTTATTTAATAAATATTTTTCTATTATAAATTTATTTGAATAAATTAAAAATAATTTATTTTAAAGAATTGTTTTTTTACAAAGCTTTTAAAAGGAAAGAATAATATCTTAGATAAAGAAAGTCGTGACTCAACGTAACTCTTATATAATTTTTTTTTAAATATCTTTATTATTAATTTAATTAACAAATCAAAACAGTTTAACTAAAAATAAATAAAATAAGGGTGACAATAAATAATTTTAAAAAAATATTATTAAAATAATTTTAAAGAATTTATGATGATCATAAATTTTCATAAACAGCTATCAGCTAAAACGCTAGTAAATGACTAATACGCCCTCTCTTTAATTCACCAACAACATGCATAATTAGACATTATGAATCAAACAAACGCACCTCAAGCATATACTTTACCAAATCTACAACTATATTCCCATGCATTTTAATTTATTTTCTTTTGTTCATTTTTTGTATAAAATAATACAAATAACACAATTTTTAACGTATTTTTTATAATACATATTTAATTATTAATTAAAATTTATTAAAAATTATATAATTTTTTTTAAAATTAATATTTTTCTCTCATATTTTCTAAAAATTGTTAATAATTTTTAATTAAAAGGGTGTTTTGTTAATGCTCTCTTATTAAGGTATTTGAGACAATTGTTGTGTACATTTAACCATGTGTTGCTAATTGTGTGGGTATACAGGGATTAGTTTTCTTCGTAGAAGCAACATTAGGTAAATTATGTTTTGAGTGATTTCATCCTCATTGGACAGTCTTCTGTCTTGCTGATAACAATTGTACTATTGCATGTCCTATTAGAATTTGAAGCGTATGGTAATTTTTTGATACAACAACAATGTTATGGCCTGTAAAAAGTACATATAAGTGTCACATGAATTTTATGAGAGGAATAAACTCAACCTAAATCTTAAAGCAAAAGATACAACTCTGTTCTGTTGTACCCCTCTCCCTTTTCTCTATCACGTATCACGATTTCCCCCTTTTTACATTTAAAATCTAATAAACACTATTTCATCCGCTGCAAAATCAAGTATCAAAGTTTCTAAATTTATAGGATTTCAAGGGTGAGCTAAATGGAGGTGAAAAGTATATTGAAGCTTCTACAATGTTTATTAAATACATGTCTTTTGATAGTGACAGACACAGAAATGACAATAATCTTTCTCTTTTTGTAAAACATAAGTTGTTATTACTGATTTTACACTTATTATGATTATGTCTTTTAATTTAAACGAGATGTTGGATTAGCTTTAAGATTATGATTGATTGTTGTATTAATTCAAAATAACCATAATTGCGGGACGTGACAGGACAAGTAGGTTGTGAATATTAATAATACTTTGATTTGATCATGGTAGTGTTGCCCAAGGTCAAATTGAGCAAAAATCAGTCTCTACTGGTCCCATTGCCAATTTTAACACGACAATGCTTTGGATTTTTTTCCTCTTGATTATCATAGTTGCTGTTAATATTCAAACAAATAGATCAATATTTCCTCAAAAACAGTTTGGATGATTCATTTTATAAATTACGTAATTGTAGTTTAAAACACTGAAAAATTTTAGAAGTATTTTATTTTTTATTATAATCTAATCAATGAGAGACCACTATTTTTTCTACGTCACCTCTTATAACATTTTAACAAAAAAGAGAGGTGAAAATAGTTATATTTAATATGGATGGCAGATCAATAAAAATTGTTGTTAATATAAGGTCGTTTTTATAATCTGGTTATTTAATTTTTCGGCTGAGACATTTATGAGATATCAACTACATACACAGAGAAGGGGATTGTTCCACCCATGACTTCTTTCATAAGAAGTTTTATTAGGTTTAAGCTTTTGGAATGGTTAAGAGGTTAACATAATAACTTAAACTCCTCACTTTCCTTGATGTACCCACAAACAAAATATCCTAATCATAAGTTTCACAAAAAATAAATATTTCTAATATAATTTTAATAATACAAATATTAATTATCACAGAGTATTTAGTTAAGAAATTAAACATAAAAATATTATTAATACACTTTGATCATAATTTTAAATACTTTCTAAATGTAATCTATTATTTTTTGCTTTCCATTCCCGTTCATGTTTTAAAAAAGTGTAATTGTAAATATTGTAAATACTATATATATATATATATATAATTCTTTACCCGTTAGAGCTCTCCAAGGATAAATACAGGATAGTAGCGTCAAACTATTGAACATGCATTTTCCTTTTATTCACTTTCCTCTTTTGATGGATTTGAGAGTAGATATATTGTAAAATGTATGCATTTAATTCTAATGGGAAATGTATACTAACTTGTTAAAAGGAAAAGTTTTCATTTGGACTTTTTTTGTTCCAAAAATGTATGGAGCAGGAATCCAATGGAAAGGGTACTGAGTTCATTTAGTAGCTAGTAGTTAATTTCTTATGTTCCTTAGGTTCCATGCCTCCATGATCCCATCACTATCTAACTTGGGTGCTAGATGCACTTGAATGGTCCTCAATAGAGAACACAATGAATGCCATTATGCCATATATGTTGAGGCTGCGTAATCGTAATGTAAAAACCAAGATTTTTATCTCAAATTACTTACAAGCATTTATGAACATTTGGTACAAGTAGGTGTTACCACAAATACCCAATTGGACATTTTAACCAAATGTACGATGGACAAACCCTTGAAGCATTTCAAATAAGAGTGTACCACAAATGATGATGACAACACTACATTCTTAATAAATATACTTAATGCTGTGTTTTTTTTGGTGGGTGGTCCTCGTGTGGTATTAAGATTCCTAATTTGATAATCTTTTTACTAATTTGGAGGGGGGTCATAGAGAAAGCTAAGATCATATAAGATACCCATGAAAGTTTTCTTGGACGACGCATGTGTTTTTTCACTTTCAGCATAAAATGTGGGTTTTTTATTATTATTATTATTATTACTCTCAAAGAAACAAATAAAGAAAGAACACAGAAAAAAGGGTGTCTTGTTTTGGTCACCCCGTGGCCCATATGAATGAAGGAGAATGACGCAGATGAATTTCAAAGGGTGACAACTTTTTTTGTTTTGTTTTTAAATTCCCCATTTATTGAAAAAGAAAATAAAAAGGGGAATCCTCTTCAATTATGCCTAACTTGTTGTCATACTTGCAGTTCACTTCTTGTTTGACAAAAGTATTTGCTTTTGCTTAAAGCATGAGAGAATAAAGATCCAACGATTAAGTAGGAACACAAATTTGAATTAAAGACCCGTCACTATTTTGATTTTTCTTGACCAAATTAGCTGTGCCATCCTTTCAAATTAAATGTACATAGTGAACACCAACACCTCTTTTTCAACCATTGAAGTTGGTAACATGGCGTTGGACCCGATTTTGTTTTAAAATTTGAACTATTTTAATTTAATGAACACCCTTGTGTTTGTGTGAGCTAAGAAACAAACTAATAGAAATCCAATTATGTGAAGAAAAAAAAAACAAATTTAATTCATTCATTTTAGTTCGTCAAGGTGACTATGTGGTAATTTGTTTTAGAGAACTGCTAAATAGTTCCATTTTTTTTCTTGCACGAATTCAAGAAATGCTTCATGTCTCAATATTTTGGTTTAAATAATAAAATAAAAAATAAAAGAAATTTTGACAGAAATCAAAGGGTGTATAACTATTTCGTCACTTTTTTAGTTTTTGGTACAGAGTAGAAATTTTCTTAGTTTTAATGTTATAATCAATTTTTAACCCACAGAAACCAAATTTATGGTGATTATCAACTATATACAAACAGGCTAATCCAAATAACACTCATGTACATGTGTTTGTTTGAAGGTTAAAGGTATGATAAAATTGTACAAGGTAGTGAAAGGCATTGCTCACATAGTATGAGTTACACACTTGGTTTGGTATACATTTTTCACTTTTCTTTATACATTTAAAGTCGTTATTATAATTTGAATTTAATATCATAGAATTGTTATGAAAATTTGATTCTCTTAAATTATTAGACAAACCTTAAATAACTTACACAATAAAGATAAACATTGAAAGATAACATATTTATTGAGACAAAAAATGCTATTATTATACCAATTTTTTTCCTAACTATTGAAGCTAAGCTACTGGCACCATAAATTTGCCAGACTTGTTCTTTCTTCTTTTTTTTGGGTCAACCATAGACTTGTTCATGGTACATTATTATCCCTTACCTTCTATGGTGATTGTTAATAGTGTGAGTGATTGCTGTTGGGCCATATGCACTGTCCTGTAATGAATGACTGTAAATAAACTTAAGCATGTGCAGCCATCAACTAGTCTTTTGCCATGGAATATGCTTAGAAAAGTAGTTCAAGTCCAATTGTTACATTTTCCTGAATATGTGTATGATGGCAGTTTCAGCTATGAAGAAGAATAATTGGCCCAATATGACAAAATAAGAATATAGGTTTGAAAAAATGGTGTAAAAGTAGATGTATTCATATAATGAAACTGATCAGTAGTGAAATACTAGGATGAATGTAATGAGATTTCAATGTTGGCTTAAGTGTACCTACAAAACGCACTCATTCTCAATTTATACTTTTTGAAAGTTAGATGGATTAGTAAGGTTTGACCAAAAATATAAAAAGATGGATTAATAAGGGCCTTGATTCAATTACCAAAGAGAGTTCTTGAAGATATGGTGCAATTGCAAATACGCATCAAACATCAACCTTATTTGAATGAGAGATGAATCAGAATATAAAGAAATGAAAAAGATAAAAAAGAATGCGTGAATGAAAATAAAAGAGAAAAAGGTAGTTTTTTATTTGTTTGGATAAGTGAAAAAAGAGTTAAAAAAATAAGTAAAATGTATAAATAATAATAATAATTTAACCATAAAAACTTTTTACTCTATTTTTGTATATAAATTTTTTTTAACCTTTATATGTTTATATTATGTATAAAATGAAGAGTAAAATATTATAAATTACAATAGTTTATCTAAAATCAAAAGTAAAATATTAAAGCAAACTTAAATAGAGTTATTTTATTAAATTATAAATTCTGTCACAAAACTCTCCACTTTCTAAGATTTGTAAGAAAAACATGATACATTAACTATTAATTATAAAGAGTTAGATATTTTAAAGTTAAATTAACAAAAATAATCAAATTTGAAATTAGTCTCTAAAAATTTACATTACTTTTATGAATTAAATTAAGAGAATTAATTATTTAAATATATACTCAAGATAAAAAAAAATTACTCAGTATCATTGATAATATAACATAATATTGTCACACCAAGTTACTTCTTTTATTAATAGTGCGCCTCCTAGCATAATGTAAACGTTGACATTTATATGTTAAAAATATAATATTAAAAAAATTAAGTTAGAAATTTTAAAATAATAATAATAATAAATTATACCTAAAGAGGGGGAGAGATATGAGAATCTACTAAGACAAAATTTGAACCTTTTTCATGATGCATATGTTTTGCAAGTTCTTATCATTAAGCTATTACTAGAAGAACATAGTTCCTTTTCTTCTAAAGTTGTCATTCAATGAGAAACTCACAATCTTATAATCTTGACTTGTGGATAATCTAAGTCAATTCTCTCACAACAATCCAAAACAAATATTATACAAATATAAGGTAATAAGTGTTATCAGTGTAATATGCGTAGATAACATTATTCATAAATTCAAAGACAGTGTTTGTTTGTAACAACTTTCAAATCAATAAGACATGTATACTTAGTTAAAGAATATTTCTACCTTAATAAAGGTCTATTTTACCCGTTTCAACTAATAATTTGATTTTTTATAATATCTTTGACACATTTGAATATATTATTTTTAAGAAAATTTCATATACTGAATTTGAAATTGACAAAAAATATTACATGTAAAATACAACTTGAGTAGTTAAAATTTACTATTATAAGATGTAACCAATAGAATTAGTGAAGGAATAAATACTAAAAATATTCTTTCATAGCAGACATTATACGTGGCGCTGATTCGTGTAATTAGAATAATAATAATAATAATTATTATTGATCTTTAAATTAATAACACAAAATAAAACTGAAAACAAATGATTAACATAAATCAAATATGAGTAAAGATATATTAAATAAATACAAACTACAAGAATATCACTAAAATTATTATCAGAAAAATACATTGCATAGTTATTATTATTATTTTTAATCAAAATATGGCTATTAATTTTATGAAAAGAAATAAAGAGAGTCCTAGATGATTTTTTTAATAAATTATTAAAAATAAATTTAGAATAACTAATATCTCTTCAAAATTATTTTCTAATAATTTTAAGGATAGCATGTGATTTATATAATAAATTTTACCTAATAATTTTTTTTATTGTTGGATTTAAATTGGATTTAAAATTAGCAAGAAAAGGAAAGGACAAATTAAAGAAGAATGAATGGTAAGATAACATTACCCTTGAAAAATATCTTTTATTTAGACTTCATTTTAGATTATTATAAAATTACCCTTGAAAAATATCTTTTATTTAGACTTCATTTTAGATTATTATAAAATTATTTTTAGTAATTTCTTTAAAAAACAGTGAGCCCTCTCTTTGGTCCTTTTCAGAGTCCATAATCATGCAATATCTTCTAAAACTTTATTTGATTGCGATATCTAAAGTTCTATTTGGTAGTTAAATTTTTCAAAAAAGTTATAAATAGTTATCCTTTTTTTTAAATAAAGAAAGAAAATTTATAAGTTTTTTTCTGCCATTCCCTCTCCTCAACTCATGCTTTTTTTTTCTTCAAACCTCTCCAATTTATTAGAAATTCAGAAAAAAAAGACATCGTAAAAAACATGGCAATTCTTTGAAAATTCTAAAACCCCTTTTCTAGCTAGTTCTAAAATGATAAGGTAAATCTTTATTAAAAGGTTATAATTCCTTTACCGTTCTTAAATCCCCAGTACCCCCAGTACAACGATGTTAATTATTTGGAAGCAGAAGAGTAACGATAAGTCCACTTGGAAAATTACATAAGCTTGAATAAATGCCTGTGTTACTCAACATTTTGTCTTCAGCGTCTTGTAGCAGTAATGTCGCACTTGATAAAAATTAATTAATTTTAGCCAAGTTATGATGGTGACAAAAGTTGCATCCCCGAATAAACCCAGTTTCATCCACAACCATGTCTCGGTCTCTCAGACATCACAAGCAACCATACATTATGACAACGTAAGCAACCGTATCATGTAGGGCTCTCCATGTATCAGCACGAAGGTTCTTTTGCTTCTAAAACCCAATCCCCATAATACTGTGATTTAGTCAAACCATTCTCTAAATTAAAATTCTGAAGCGAATTGGAAAATATGACGTTCTGTGTGGACCAAAAAAATAGTACTAGTACATAAACCTAGGTCCTCATAAGAGACCAATGGAAAACCCTTCACAAGCACGACAAAAATCATAAATAATGAATTCCAACCCATCGATAATTAAATTTGATGGGAATTATGATGAAGCACAAAGGGTCTAGCCATTAAATCAAAATACCAAGTCAGATTCTGAAGTAATTTCGTACAGACTGTAAAACAAAACTAGATAAATTGAGGGTAGATAAGTAGTGAAGTGCGTCGCTTAGCACTTCACCTCCTTTAAAGCATGTGCAAAGTACAGAAATGTGGGATCAGTAGCACCGTCCTTGTAGTAGGCTAAGACCAAGCAACCATCATCATGCATGCTCTCCCCAACAAAGCTGTGCATAAAAAAAGAGGTCAACTCAGTGTGCATTTATTTTCTTAAGCATAAAAACAAATTATATTAACAGATAACACAAGCAAAAAATTACAGAAAAACATTTAATCCATCAAAGTAGGTGTAATAAAAGTAGCACTCACAACTGAAGATCCTTAATCTTGGAGAGCAGGAATTTTGTTGCTCCCTCAATGTGCTTTTTAAACAACTCTTGTTTCTCTCCCTCAAGTTTGGGTGTCAAATTCTTGATAAACCTCTTCATGAAAGTAACAAACTGCTTCTTGTCAAAAGCAGGTTGTTCCTGTAAAAATTAACAAGACAATTATTCTCTGAACTTCAATTAAGACAAAAAAAAATAAAGAAAATGTCCACACCAAGGATAAGAAAAAAGGTGTATGGTTTGCCCTAACCTGAAGTCTGAATGTGTCAACAATGTCAACAACCTTCACAGCTTGGTCATCAACACCCTCATCTTCTCCACCTTCAGCAGAAGGGTTTGCACCAATGTTTACCTCAATAGCTCCTTGAACGACCCACTGCAGACCAAAAGTAAACAGTTTTTAGCCTGTTGGCCACATGCAACCAAACCACTTCAAAATATGAATTCAAACCATCTTATAAAAAATGAAGTACTAAAATGATGTGCTAGGGATATTATGTTAAATGAACATGAATGAACAGTATTCAACTAACCTTTCCCTCAACTTCCCACAACAATCCATTCTCAATTTCCTTATAAGGAAAGGAGTCAGAGAGAAGCTCATCACCTGCACAGGGTAGCACATATACGCCAATGTTACTCCATGGATTTAACTATTACATACTTGACAAACATAAACCAACATATATATATATATATATATATATATATAAGGATAAAAAATGGCACAAATAAGACACCTTCATCAATAATAAATAATAATTTATACATCATACATAAAAACATCAACCAAACAATCGACCTAGCTGGTATGTTAGATAAGATTTTTAAAACAACATGTAAAACACAAACCGTAAATTACCCCTTGTTTCACTGGAATCGTAATCACCTACCATTCAAAGGCCATATAAACATGCAAATAGCATTGACTAGACCCTTACCCGGAAAAAGAAATCAGAAAATTTTATACTAAATCTGAGATAATCATTTAAAAAATATAATTAAAATCAATAATCAAAACGCAATAAAGCACCAGCATCATCCAACCTGATACCAAGATGCCGCATAACAAAATCAGCGCATCTTTTAGCGTTGTAATTAGTGAGCAGGGAAAACAGAATAAGAAACTACTAGTGATAACACGAAAAAATACATTCACATAACTTAACTATAATTAACGAGAACAAATAATCAGATATGTCTGCAACATACTGATGTCGACCATCAACAAATTTAAATCGAAAAAGAAGAGTTCCAGATCCAAATAAAAAAAAAGTTCAACACCTAACAATCAGATGCGTGAGCAAAATCAAAAGCGATAGCAACAGATCGGCGAGGAGTAGTTAGTTTACCTGTAAGGAGGTCCTGGTAAACCAACATGTTCGCAGAGTTTCTCTCAGATCGCTCCGAATAACAGGGTTGATGGGGTGAAACAGGTGCGGAGCGACGAGAGAACAAGGGGGTTTGATATTGTGCGTGCAACTCCTATTTATAACCAAGGGTTTCGCCCCTCGGAAATTACCCTCACACCCTTCCTCTTTCCCCGAAATATCCATTCACTCCAACTTCACATTTTTTTTTTGTCTGGGCTTTCACTCGGCCCATAAAACCCAAAATTTAACACTGCACAACGTTGTTTTGAGCGGGAACCTAAAAATTCAATTGGGGGCACACTGTAAGAGAGTGTGAACGTGACACAGACCACACCATGGAGATGGAGGAAACTGTATCTCGCGTAGTGTCTGAGCTTGAGGATCACCGTGGAAACCCGCAACCACCACCTCTCTCCGAACAAACTCTATCAGATCTTCAACTTCTGCTCAACCACTCTCTCTTAGACACTCTCTACGATGAGCTTTCTTCTAAGTCCCTCTCTCCCTCCACTCTTATCCCTCCCATTGCTTCCGCAATGGACTCTTCCCCTTCCCACCACTCTCTCCTCGCTTCCAACGTCTTTCTCTCCCTCCTCCTCTCACCAAACGCACCCGTTTTCACCCTCTTCACTCCCATCTCCTTCCTCTCCTTTCTCCGCTCCCTTCGCCGCTCCTTCAAAACCCGCCCCCAACAAAGCCCAACCCAAGGCCCGGCCCACGACGCCTCCCATAACCGGAAAAGAAAGCGCACTGGGAGAGCCCGCGGTCCCGCCAAAAATTCCCAAAACGACGACCATTTTGGAGACACTGAAAGCGACGTCAGGGTTTTGCTTCGCGTGTTGGAGAAGCTTGTGCTTGTCATGGGTTTGATTCACCTGGATCGTTTCCCCGAGATTCTCAAGTCTCTGGTTCAAACCGTGGTTGAGCTCCCCGTAATGGCGCTTGAATCGTGCGCCAACGCCGCGCATTTTAGCAAGTTGCTTAACCTGTGCTCGCGGGTTCTGAGGGAGGTTCTAAAATCAGAGCACGGAGAACCTTCTAATACTGCTTCTGAGGTGTTGAAGTCGTTGTCTTCCCTCGTTCTGATGCCTAAGTCGCAAGCAAGGACCTTCGCTCTTGGATTTGTGACGAGCCTTGGTGGAGACTGTGATGGTGTGAAGAAAGCGCTGGTTAATTTTCCGAGGTATTTGGCGAAGAAGGCGCCGGAGAAGTCCGAGCCTAGAGCCTTGGCTGTGGATTCCATCATGGAGGTTGTGAAGGTCATGGCGTTGGAGGATCAAGTTGCGTTTGTTAAATACGTGGTGAAGATGGCGCAAGGGAAATCGAACCTTAGGCTTTTGGCAGTTGATCTTGTTTTGAATCTGGTGATGAGCTTGAAAGATCCGTTGGGCGTGGATTCGGAGAGTGAGGGGAATGAGCAGTGGGGAATTTGGTGCTTGGAGGCTTTGGTGAAGCGTTGTTCTGATGTGAGTGCAGCTATTCGAGCCCGGGCATTGTCGAACTTGGCGCAGCTGGTGGGATTCCTCTCCAAGGATGGTAGGACTAGTGTGGTTTTGAAAGAGTTTATGGGGTTTGGAAGGGTTAGTGAAGGAGATGTTGAAGGTAGAATGAATGATATGCTGAGGAGAAGGTGTATGGATGATAAAGCAGCGGTGAGGAAGGCTGCATTTCTTCTGGTTACTAACTTAACTGCTCTTCTTGGTGGTGCAATTGATGAAGTGGTTCTCAAGACAATGGGCATGGCTTGTTCGGATCCGCTTATTAGCATGCGGAAAGCAGCAGTTGCAGCTCTTTCCCAGGTAGTTCATTTACGTTTTAAAAGTTGTAACTTTTTTTGCTGTGTGTGTACTATGTTGGATGCTGTGCCTGTGGAAGGACAGCAAGGAATGTTGCAATATTTGGTGACATGGAATTAAAATTTAGGACATGATGATGCAAAGGCTTTTTTTTTTTAATGAATAGCTGCATAAGAATTTTTTGTCATGAGAACTTTTGGGGTTATCTGTGGTTATTGTGTCATTGTTGGCATCTAGTTTTTCCATAAATGGATATGAATAGAAAGATTATAATGCAGGAAGTTTTCATCTGCACCTTGCTCTTCGGTCAGGCAGCTTTACTGTGTTGCTTTTTCAGCTAACTATTTCTGCCTTTGGGCTGAGTAGATACAAATGAGTTACATTCTTAATGTTGCTATGTTGTTATATTGAATTCATGGGGAGAACATAACATAATATCAAATCACTCTGATAAATTTGTTCCATTGATTAACATAAAATACCGAGTCTCAGACTATATTTTTCAGCATGAAGTTGCTATTGTTAAATAATGCCTTGTTGCATTAGGTGTATGCTATAGATAGATGCTAAGATTGTACAGCGTTTATCAGATTCTGCCTGAGATGATTTGAGGAATTTGGTGTTTAAAAATTATTTCTAAATCTTAGAAGTCGTGTTTCTCACTAGTCCCCTAAGATGTCTTCTCTTTTTACTTGGTTCCTTTTTACTTCAACAAAATGTAGGCTTTCAGAACATTCTCTGCTGAAACAGTAATAACTGAGTGGTTACATTCAGTTCCACGTCTAATAACTGACAATGAATCTAGCATCCAAGAAGAATGTGAGAACACGTTTCAAGAACTTGTTTTGGACCGGATAGCTAGAGCTGCATCTGCCACTTCTTCGTTTGGTGAATCTACGTCTAATATAAAGATGAAAGGAAAAGGTATAGACAAAGAGATGGAGATGCTTTTTCCCAACGGAATTCTGTACCTACTGAGCAAGATTTGCAATGGAGAAGTGAGCCCTTGGGTGATGAAAATTTGCATGAATCTGGGCAAAAAGAAACGCATCAATCACAAAATTGTTACTGCACTTCAAAATATAATCAGGGCATCCGAGTCCATCTGGCTGAGCCATGCCATGCCAATAGAAAAGTGGACTGCCCCACCTGGTGCTTGGTTTCTTTTGTCAGAAGTGTCAGCATTCCTTTCAAAAACAGTGGACTGGGAGTTTCTTCATCATCATTGGCAGCTTCTTGACAAACATGAAGTGGAAGGGGAGTTCAAAAGTCCATCTGTACAACGAAATGAATTTGAAGAGGAAGAAAGCATAGGATGCAATGCCGTTGCCTGGGCTAATGACCGAGTTTTCCTCTTACAAACAATTTCTAATGTTTCTGTGGAGCTACCCCCTGAACCCGCAGCTGATTTAGCTCATAGCTTGCTCAAACGGGTAGAAGAATTCAATATGCATTCAACTGAGGTAATCATTACACAGTATTATTGATCGAATTTGTCACTGACTCTTAACACTAGTGCTGCCTTTTTCATTCTTCAATGTCTATTGGGTTATTGCGAACGTGAGATGAGATATTGTTGTTAAACTTAAACATGATTTTACTCTTCCTACCAGATTTAGAAGTTTATAGTGCACTTCCTGGGGGTGCATCTTTCTCTTGATTATCATCCTTTGCATTTTGTAATTTCTTAACACATCAAATATTGCTGTATCCAATCTGTCTGTGACCCCAATTCTCATGGGCTAGGCAGAAGGTTACCTAAAAATTAACACGTCTGTATGGTCTTTTAAGCTTTGTATAAGTCCTTTCAGTTCTATTTCTTGTTCTATGTCAACACCAACATTGTTGTGAGTGATCCATGTAAATGTATTGACAAATTTTCCGTTAGTTGCCAAAGGCTTAACACAAGTTTTATGTTGTTCTATGTCAGGTCTTGGAAATTTTGTACCATCTGAATCTTAAGCACTTACTATTTTTACTTTCCTGCCCTCACAATGTATTAGAGAGGACACTCTATTCAGCATTGTTTTGTAAAGAATATTAGATCGATAATCATCTTAGTTTTTTAAGCAATCAGCAAGCACTCTATACCTATATATCAGACGGTCTTTCTTACTAGATTTGTCTTAAATAGCTAATGGAACAATTGTCCTCATAAGGTAATGTTGGTAATCCAGATGAATGAATGACAGAATCAAGATGGACCAGTTAAACTGGGAAATATAGAGGTATAATAGAATGATAATAGCCAAGGAGATCATTCATAGACTTAAAAGTTATACTATATTGAATTGTGTATTGTGCTTGGTAGGTTGATGCTCATTTAAAAGCTCTTAAAACATTGTGCAAAAGGAAGGCTTCAAATCTCAAGGAGGCAGAAGCATTAGTCTTGAAATGGATCCACCAAGTTCTCTCCAAAGCTTCTAAAATAATAGAAAAATTCATTTCAGCAAATTCAGTACAAAATATTGAAAGTAGCTTTTTCACTCCACCTAGAAGTGGGATTAGCAAATGCAGGAACTCAGTAGCAATGTCCAAATCATTGTCAAAAGCAGTTACAGCAATTTATACAATTGGGTCTTTAGTTATTGTTTGCCCATCTGCTGATATGAGCACTGTAGTTCCTCTATTGCACACTATCATCACTTCCGGGAGTTCTGGTCCCAAATTAAATAAACTACCTGGTCCTGCAACCTCTCTACAACAAGAAGCTCCTTCTTTTTATATTCAAGGGTGGCTAGCCATGGGCAAGCTTTGCCTTGCTGATGGGAAGCTGGCAAAGAATTATATTCCTCTGTTTGTCCAGGTTGGTCCTGTGATTTTGACTGTTTATGTCATGCCTCATGGACTGTTACGTGTTTTCACGCTTCCTACTCAAGATATATTCTGTTTCGAAATATTTTTTCAGGAGCTTGAAAAGAGCGAATATGCAGCTCTTCGCAACAACATTGTGGTTATGATGGCAGATTTTTGTGTTCCATACACTGCTCTTGTTGATTGGTAAGCCTTGTTGATGCTACTTTTAAATGCATTTGAGTTTTAAAGAAGTATAATAATGTAATAGTGCTCTTTTACATGATAAGGGCATGTCATGCTGTAAAATATAAACAGAGGAGTAACTTTTATTTTGCACCAGGGTAGAAGTCCAATCTTCACAAAAATGAAGAATATACATTTGAACAACGTTAAGTAAATATTCTTATCGATATTTGAAGTTCTAACTTTCTTTTTCTGGAAGTTTTTAGTTACATGACAAAGATTACGAGATGTCTCTTAGATCCGTGTGAACTTGTGAGAAGGCAAACATTCATATTGCTCTCCAGATTGTTGCAGGTATTTTTTTTTTCTTTTGCTTTGATGACTTACCTTCTATTTCACGGTTGTTTTCATTTATTTCTGTTAAAGAGGAGGGATATCATTTGCTAAAATATAACTTTTTTTTCTAGAGGGACTATGTGAAATGGAGAGGAGTGCTCTTTCTTCGGTTTCTGTTGTCACTTGTTGATGAATCAGAAAAGATTAGGCAGTTAGCTGATTTTCTCTTTGGAAATATTTTGAAAGGTTTGAAGCTTTCCCTCGATAATCATACATTTATATAAGTTGAATATGTTTGTTGTTGGACTGAACTATTGTGTTTTTGTCAGCAGTAAAGTCTCCTCTTTTAGCATATAATAGTTTTGTTGAGGCTGTTTTTGTTCTGAATGGTTGTCATGCCCATAATGGACATCGTGAATCCCATGGTTCACAAATGGAAAACCAACCCTTTTCCATCAGGTAAAAGGGGCCCATATTAGCAATTGGTATGACAGTTATTTATTTGAGATGTGCTTACATCTAGTCTGCAACTCTGCATTGTTCTTTGCAGGGGTGGTGATGAAAAGTCAAGGTCTAAAAGAATGCACATTTATGTTTCTTTACTAAAACAAATGGCTCCTGAGCATCTTCTAGCAATCTTTGCCAAGTTATGTGCAGAAATTCTAGCTGCTGCTTCTGATGGTATGCTTAATATAGAAGATGCAACTGGACAGTCTGTTCTCCAGGTATTAATCTGTACTAGCAATGTTCACCAGGTTGTCGTTAATTCTTCCAAGTATACTGCATACATACATATGCAATTTATAATGCAAGTGCATCTGAATATGGAGACAGCAATGCCTTCGCTATCGTCTTATTTCATTTTTAATTAATGTTTAAATTGTTAAATTAATGTTGTGATCAGGATGCATTTCAAATTCTTGGCTGTAAAGAGATACGTGCCCCATCTGCTCGTTCATCATCATCTGAGTCAGCAGACAGAGAGGAAGAAGGGGGAGAAAATGGATCTGCAGCTAGAGGAAAGGCTATAACCCAGGCAGTTAAGAAAGGCCTTATCCAAAATACAGTCCCCATCTTCATAGAGTTGAAACGACTATTGGAAACCAAGAATAGTCCCCTCATAGGTTCTCTCATGGAGTGCCTCCGCATCCTTCTCAAGGATTACAAGAATGAGATTGATGACATATTGGTTGCTGATAAGCAGCTACAGAAAGAGCTTATTTATGATATTCATAAATATGAAGCAGCAAAAGCTAAAGCAGCAGTTGCTGAGGCTGTAGGCACCAAGGCAAAATCAGATGCAAATCAATCACTTGATGCTTCTAATAATTTGACCAAGACACAAGGACAAATGGTAGGACAAGGTGACAATAACGAGTTTCCAAGCGACTCAAGATTCGCTTCAGCATTGGCAGATGCAGCAGCTGCAGCAACAGCTCGTTCTGTGCTCAGGGAAATAAACAAGGGGACTGGGACACCTTTGCTTAGTTCTTTGAGTGTTCCTAAGGTCAAGTCTCGTAATGTTGTGTCCAATTCCAGAGATGTTAAGTGCATGGATGTCATACAATCTTTAAGGAAAAGACAGTCTTTTGATTCTGATGAAGAAAATTAACACCAAAATGTATTTTGAATTTTAGATTTCCTTGTTCCATGCACTCTTGGAGCATGAAAGACTAGTCTTTTCAGACAAGTGTGGGGCACTTCGCTGAAATTTTAGGGAGGCACATAATGTTAATATTTTTTTTTTTGTCTAAAGTAAATTGACAACTATTATATATTTTTTAAATTTTTTGCGAAAATTAAATCACAAATAATACTTGATTAATAGTAATATCTTATCATTCTATTTGAATAATATATTATAAGTATTTTTGAAGATTTTTTTAATTAAAATTGATCTTTTAGTTTAGTAATTCAAGCAATAAAGATTAATATACATTATTAAATAAAAATTTTAATTTTAAAATGTTAACATTAAACATCCAATTGACGAATATTCTCAACTCAAAAACATCGAATAACATTAGACCTAAGTTTAATAATAATTTAAAATATTTAATACTTTTAGATAGATGTTTGCATTCCTATTTCCTACATCGAATCCAGATTAACAGTGCGTAGAAAAACCATTGAATTAAATTGATACTTCCGATACAAGAATGGCAACGAGAGCTCTGAAATTGATTGGAAGTGTGTAAGCGCATTTGCTACAAGTTGCTGGTTCCCTCTCTCTCACACACACCAATCCTATTTAATGCTCACTAGTCACTGCCTCGTGTCTCTTACTAAATATTCCTATTAATCCCTCCCTTTCCTTCTTCCTTCCAATCCCTAATTTCCTTCCACCAAAAAACACTTGGCAATACTTTCCCAATGAAGAGCCTGTTTGGATTCTTAATTCTCATTTAATTATTTACGAATTTATGTTTACTTTGATGTTATTAATTATAGCTTCGCAGTTGAATCTACGTTTATAGGTCAACGTGTGTGTTTGAACTCACGTTAGGTTTCTGAGTTTCGAACCTCACTCAAATGCGTTACTGCACGAGTCAATAACTCATATTCTGAGTTAATTGAGCGATTCTCTTTCGCGCCATGGAAGGTAACAAGGACGAAGCGTTGCGCTGCGTTCGCATCGCCGAGGACGCGATTGCGTCAGGGAACAAAGACCGTGCCCTCAAATTCATCAAAATCGCGCAACGCCTCAACCGCGATTTGCCCCTCGAACCCTTGCTCGCCATGTGCGAACGCCTCGATTCTCAGTCGTCAGCCTCGTCCTCCGACGGAACCTCTTCCTCCGCCAGAGGCAAAACGGCGAACCGTACTTCCCGAAACGACGAGCGTTTTAACGGAGAGAGGAATTACACGGAAGAGAATGTTCAGTTGGTTAGGGAAATTAAGAATAAGAGCGATTACTATGCCATCTTGGGATTAGAGAAGAGTTGTTCTGTTGAAGAGATTAGAAGAGCTTATAGGAAACTGTCGTTGAAAGTTCATCCTGATAAGAACAAGGCACCGGGTTCTGAAGATGCGTTTAAGAAGGTTTCAAAGGCTTTTAAGTGTTTGAGTGATGATGGTTCGAGGAGACAGTATGATCAAACGGGAATGGTTGATGAGTATGAATTTAACCAGCAGAACAGTTTCCGGCGCCGGAGGCGGAGGAGTACTATGGGGCACGATATTTTCGAAGATGAATTTGATCCTGATGAGATATTTAGGGCATTCTTTGGACAATCTGATGTGTTTGGGAGAACTCATATTTATAGGACTCGAGGGATGGGGAATCATCATAGGCATGAGTTTCAGGCTGGAACTGGAGGAGGGAATAATAATATTATGCTGTTGATTCAGCTCTTGCCGTTTTTGATCATTTTGCTGCTTGCCTACTTACCATTTTCGGAGCCGGATTATTCGTTGCAGAAGAATTTCTCGTACCAGATTCCAAAGACCACTGAGCAGCATGGAGTTCAGTTTTTCGTGAAATCGCAGGCGTTTGAGGATAACTATCCGAAGGGAAGTCCTGATCGGGAGGCTATTGAGGACAATGTCATAAAGGATTACAAAAATATGCTGCGGCGTTATTGCCAGGTGGAGATTCAGAGACGGAGTTGGAATAGGAATCTGCCTGTTCCTCATTGTGATAAGCTGCAAAACTTTGCAGTTGTAGCCTGAAGGTATTTTTATTTATTCTCTTTATTTTGGTCTAGGATGTGTATAAATGTTGCTAGAATTGATTTAGTTTTTTTAATGGATTGAAATAAGTTTTCTTTTAATTGTTCTTTATTGGATTCTTATACCTTTGAACACAATAAAATTTTTAATACAACCTTCCCCCCCATGTATACTATTGCTTGATAAGTTAACTATTTTTCTTCTCTTATACCTTTGAACCTAAATGCAGTTTTAATACAAACTTTCCCACATGTTATATCCTTGCTTGATAACTTAATTAGCTGTATGAGGGAAGTTTTCTGAGGATAAGAGAAGAGAAATAGTTTCGATGCGTGCTGTCCCTGACTTCCAGCATTATTTTACACTTTCTGGAATGTGGTGAGCTTTGTTGCTTGTTGACATGACTATTTTATCCCTCTAAATGTTTAAAATTTCAAATTAGCTTATACCGGTGAAAATGGTCATCAAATTTACTGTAAAGTGTGGAGTCATTAGATAATCATGATTTGTTTAGGTGCATTATTCAAATGATTTTTCATATTGTCTGCAATTATGGTATTCTTCAACCAGGTCTAGTTTGGTTATTTTAAAATTAGATAACAAGATCAATGTCCTGTGCCTTTAGTTTGCTTTCTGTTAAAATATTAGGAACTCGGGGGCTATTGTTTGAATGGAGGTGGAGGCAGTGTAGGGCATTTTTTAAATTGAGTAAACATTCTCCTTATGCGAGGATTTTTCTTTTTTCTTTTTGAATGGGAGGGAAAAAATGAGATCTTATTATAAAAATATTATTCTATAACCTTTCAATCATTCGATATTCATTTCTAATTTTCTACAATCATTTTGAAATTCATTCAATTTAGAAATGAAAATTATCCCTCTCCACATTTCCCCTTATATCTCTTCTATCCAAACATACCATTATGTTTTAGGGTTCTCACAATGTTAGCAATCCTATTTTCCTACATTCACACATGACCTGGTGGAATATAAGTATACAAAAGGTGTTAGTGGTTTGTATCTAATGCATTTTGTGCACAATTTCTCTCAAATACATTGTCTCAACTTTCAACACGGTGCAAAGAATATTCATGACTCTCCTTCCTGTTGGCTATGCCCAACAGTAGTGACTGTTAGCTTTTCTCCAGCATGTTTTTCCTTTGCTAGTGGTTTCTGTCTTTGATTCTTCACCTTCCCAGTTGGTCTCCACAAGATACATTAATCTTATCAATGGAAACAGAGAGCAGTGACCTATTGGCACAGAAGTCTCAGCAGAAAATCTTAGCCATCTCCCTTGTCTGGTTGCCTTTGGCCATGCTCTGGCACATGGAGGATGCAGGAGCAAGGCCTCTCTTTTCATGGGTGATGAACAGGGACACCTTATGTCTGATGTTTCTGGTCAGGTACTGACCTCAGTTCCAGTTTCAGCCACTCCTCTGGCATCCTTGGAACTGCTTGACTGTCTCTCCACCACAACCCTTGTTTGGCTTTGTTCCTTTTTTGTTTGGGCTTGCTCCTACATGAGTTTCTCTGGTCATCTCTGTTAAACTCTTCGTGTCTCCTTGGTTGCGGGGTGCCTATGTTAATGCTGTGTTTTTCCTATTTCTGCATCAGGCACTGCTTGTGACCTTGTTTGATTGCTGTGTTTTCTTCCAGCCAGAAGCTGTGATAAAGTTAATGAGTTAAACCAGCTTCGATTTTTATCATTCTAGCAGTCTACTACTCATATGGTTAAATATCATTTCAGCCATGTATTACTCCTCTGGTTGTGCATCATTGTAGCCATCGTTTTGCTGTGTTGTCTCTGTAGTATAATGTATAGAAAGCTTCATTTTTCTTAGTTATCTTCTTCCTTGTTGTTTATTGCACCCTTTACAGTAAAAGGTGCTTTTCTGTTACTAGCTGTAAATGTAGTATGTTTAGGTTAAATCATTAAGGGGCAATGTTATATTAATATTTACTCATTTCAAGAGTCTTATAATGCTTATAGTCTTAATGAACTGGGTTTTTCAAACTGTAATAAATAAAACTAGTACTTGACAACTAACATAGATTGATAATGTAAATAGATCTAGTACACAATTTTTCTCAAAAAGTTTTTGTCGCATCACTTTCCTTTTGTTTTCCTTTGTATTTAGCAATGCTTTATTTGGTTTCAAGTAGAAGGAAAAAGAAAGGAGCTGCTTAAGTGGAAAAATTACAAGAGAAAGAAGCGAATTGTTTGATATCAAGATAGTTAAAATCACAATTCTACCTAGGATTAGGAAATAGTTAAAATTGTATATTTTTGGAATCATAGCACGAACTGAAGATCCATGATAGTCAAAATTGCGATCTTGCATGTACATCAATTATTCTACAATTTTTAATAGCCTCGTGCTCTGGAATGCAATCCGGTGAGATTGCAAAATATTGTCACATTTACACTTAAAATCCACTAAATCTTGCAATTCACTAGGCCGGTTAGATGAAACTGAAAAACCCATTTTCCTAAATGACATTTTTGGCTCTTCCAGGCTTGTGGGTCTTCCTTATGAATTGATTGGTTTGGTGGTAAGCAAACTAAAATTGGATTGGACTTTGGTTCTTCTTTACATTTTGGTTCTTTTGTTAGTATGTCGATATATGTTTAAATAGTGATATATTTATGATAACATTGAAGGGTAAATCTGAAGTGAAAGTGCCCACTACTAGAAAGCAAATCATTCCATCCAAGTTCGTGTGGGTTGGGCTGTTGTGGGACATTCTCTTCGGATTCATTGGTTGCATCCCTTCTGTTCTCTAACCTCTGATGTCAAATGTTCTGTAAACCCCATCCCTTTTCCCTTTTTTGTAAGTTGTATGGTCCCTGATTTGCCGTTACCCATTGGATATTTTATAATTCTTAGTTTCTCCCTGATTATGTTACGTTGCCAACTTGTCATTCCAAATCTACTTTGTCCCTGTCCTATGTTTTTTATTTTTGGAACTTCTGTTTATGGTTCCTTGACAGGGCGTGCCAATTGCAAATTCTCAACCATGCCTCCTCTCATCAAAAGTAAAAGAGAGTGAATAAAAGTCCTCAGAAAACAATATATTATTAGATAAGAGTTTTTGATGCATAGTGCAGGATCACTTTTATTTCTTTTAGCACTTTATGCTGTACTTTTTCACAGTTCTTTTTCTGTCCTGTCCTTACCTTGCAGCAAAAGTGGCTAGCTGGAGTAATTTTTACTTGGCTTAAGGAAGTCTTGCATCAGTTGCTGAGCTTTTGTGCACGTTTTATTCTTCAGGATATCTAATATATCCATGGGAGCAGCTGCCAGTTTAGTGCTGTGCTCTTGCTGTGAGAAGTTTTTGATAAATATGCTTAGAAATGTGTTTATTATTATTGTCGGAGGTATATTTTGATGGGATTATCTATTATGTTATGCACAATCATTAATGATGCAGAACGTGGCAGCAAATAATTACACAAAAGGTCCTAAGTATCAGCAGTGGGGCATTTGAATACAAGCTCATGATCCGAGTTTTCTAAATTACTCGAGGGTAGCAACTTATATTCGGTTGAAGTAGGCATGTTACTTGACAAAGGAAAACAAACTATCGCTTCATTTCTAGTGAGTGAATATTATTACGTCAGTTAAGGAAGCCATGTGATCATCCGACAGAATTTGATTTTCGATGTAGGTTTGAGTTTTCCTTTCCTGTCTGGTAGGAGTATTACTTTGCGTGTGATTGGTGATCATATTTTGGCATCTGGAAACACCATTCCACTGTCAAAAATTGCCAAAAAGGGAGAGTTTAGGTATTCTATTCTTGCTCACTGGTAAAGTTTCAATCATCTGTGATGCCCTTTTCTGGATCAATTTTCAATATATGAAACTCTTGAATGCTTGGGATGTGAAAAATGAAAAATAGGATGGCTTTGGATTTTATTCCCCTCTCCTTTTAACCCATTCGATCTTTAACCCTTTTTTTTTTTTTTTGGCCTTTGGGGGAGGGGAACTGGAGGAGGGGGAAGGGATTTGGGAATTTTTAAGATTTAGGACTCGAATCCTTGTATATATTCTTCTAGCTTTCATCAGGCGGGATTTGTGGGACTTGGGTTGAGGGTTGAGATCAAATACATTTTACAGTTACTTAATTCCTTCTTAACGTACATCCGTACAAATCATACATGTGGATTATTTCGAACAGATGACACATTGGAGTCTTTTTTTTTTTTTTTGTGGGGGGGGGGGGGGGGGGGGGGGTTGGTTTCTAGTTGGATTAAAACGTTTTTACCTGGTGTTTCTTGATGTTTGTTTCCTGAGGGCTAGGTTAACAGTAGACGTGTTTTTTGGAATTTTTAGTACGAGTAGACTTTCGTCTTTTACCTGGTCTCTGTTAGAATCCTCCAGTAAAAGTTATTGGGAAGCACATGGGTAGTGTTTGCTTGAGGAAAGCACAAGATAAATAGATAATAGGCTAATTGCATCTTTTTTTTCTTTTTTCTAACTTTGGAAGAGTTGGGGTGGGGGAGCCTGTCTGTTGGTACAACGTCTTTTGTGTGAAGAAGATTCATTAACTCTAGTGGATGATTTTGCATAACGCGTGACTTCAGATGAGAATTGCGCAACACAACCGCAGAGTCGCATACCATAATGTGTAATGCCATAGCAGTAATCAGCAATCAATCTAAAAGTGATACACCCAGAGGAAGGGTGTAATACCTGCTGGTATGTTCTCGCTGCCAGATAAACAAAAAATGTGCAAATAAGTTTTGGTGAACTGAATGATTTTTTTTTATCCGTCGAGTTTTATTTTCAAGATACTATTCTAGTTAATATGTAATAAGCTAGGAGAAATTAGAGAGTATTTAAAGTCAAACTCGAACGTCATTTGTCAAATTTGTGCTGTAGTTCAGGGACCGGTAGGATTTTATTTTTCGGTTGATAATGGGGAAGGTCAGAATTTGTCTTGGTAGAGTCGGACAAAGAATGTAGATAAATAAATACGAAAAAATTTCAATCATCAAATTAACTGCAACAGCGATATTTTATTTTTATAATAAATATATACCATATTGTTTATAATTTTTTTTTCTGTCTTTTTCATTCATCGCATCATCTATCTTATTTCATATTTTTACCTGTTTATTATCTGTCATAATTGGAAAGTAAAACTACACAACCTTTATTGTACAAAAATAATTTCGCAATGCAACGTATGAAAAAAAAAAAGTTTTCTTTCTTCGTTAGGTCATCTTCCTTCCATTTGACGCTTGCTCTATGCTTCCAGTTTCACTTTTTATTAAAAAAAAAAATACATGTTTTTAAATGACTTTGTTTCATTTTGCAAAGGAAGGAAGGGTCCACTGTAAAGTGTAAGTCTAGGGAATGCACACAACAAACAAAGCGTCATAAAAGAAAGAAAACAAACAAAAAAGTTTGAGAAAGCCACGGCCACCGCACCACCATGCACCGACACATACTCAGGCCTGGCAAGATATTAAACACCCCCCCTTTACTTTTTCCCATGTATTCACCCAAACGCATCTTTCATTCTCCACTGTTGAAAGATATATCCAATTCACTTTTGTTTTTCAAATGGTAAGACAATATTTTTTCGCTCGTTAATTACGGTAATTCAGCTATTTTATCTCAGCTCTCTAGTAAGGTGGTTTGTCACATGCATCATAAATACTTTTTGTAATACTTTTTTAGTATTTTATTTTAAATTTGATCTAACTTGATTAAAAAAAGAGTTTTCCGTTTTCTCAACCGGCACCATGGCCTCTAACTAGCATCTGGCGATAGCCAGATAGATATTTTAGGTGGAGAAATTATATCAGTACAATGTTTTATACAATAAAATAAATCACATTATAATAAAAATGTTATATAAATAATATATTTCTTCTATATATTGAATTTCAAAACTAAGAGGTTTGTGCGAGCAAGTACTATAATAATAGTAAATATACAAGATGAATGTTTTTAACACATTATTTGTTATTAAGATGAAAAGGTATGAGTTACATTTTTATTGAATGAATTTCATTTATGATTTCATAAATCTCACTTAAATCTAAAAGAATGTAAAAAGAAGAATGTATTAAAATCATCTTATTAGCATTTTTTTTCTACAATTTGTCCCTTTTGAAACCTTCTCATTTTTTTTTAACTCATCGATGTATAAATCCATTGCCAAATCCACAGCTTTCCTGAGATAAACTTGTCAAAATTAAAGTAAATAATTTTACAAACCAGCAACTATCTACTCAAACCCGTGTAACATTCCAAAGTACTCTCAAACTATATATATATATACTCTTAAAACAAAGAAATAACACATACATATATTACATTAAGTTACATGTAACAACAATAAATCAAGACATTAATTGGCATTGCATGTGAAGTAGGGAGATCGAAGAACGTTGTTGAGAACTCAATCAGCGGAATCAACGTGGTGGAAGATGGAAACCCTGTTGTACAAAAGGATCAAAATGATGATGAGTAAGAGGGCCACACCCACCGGTGACCCGCTGAGGCGGTGGATGGTGTTGGGTTCACCGGTAGAGAACATGGCAGAGACGAATGAACCACGTTCTGAGGAGAGAAACTGAATGGTGAGAAGAAGTGCAATGGGAAGAAGAAGGAGACCCATTGGGCTCAGCAGCTCAGAGATTGTTTCTGTGATGGCTTCTCCAACAAGGAAAGGTCCTATTACCACTATGCTTACCACTATTGCTACAAGGATCCCATGCGGTGCACCTCCACCACCCTGTTGCTGTCTTTCTTCTATCATCTTTGGATTAGATTGATGTTGAAGATGGAATTGTGTTGGTGTGTGATTTTGTAAGCAAGGGTTTAATTGGGTTGTACCATGTACACTAATGAACGTGTTGTGTTGTGTCCATTTTGTGCTCTATCACTGTCTCGTGGAAGGAAAATGTTCAATATCCACCCCACACAGCCGTAGAGAGAGAAAAAAAGAAAAGAGGAGATCAATGATAAATGTTACAAGTATTGTAAAGTGATAAAATAAATAAATAAAAACTATGAAATGAGAGGTCACATGCTTTTTTTAATGTTTATCATTAGTTAAAATTGATTAAAAATATAAAATTATGAAAATTTTACTCTAATTTAGTGAGTTACAATTATAATTTTATAATTATAAATAATTTTTACCTAAAAATGAAAAGTATATTATAAATATTTTTAGAAAATAATCATATTAGAATGTTTATAAATAAAATTGGTTATTTAAAGAATATTTTAATTGGAATAATTCTAAACTTTACTTTTTGTTCTTGCCTGTCTTTCTAATTATTTAATGAAATTTATTATTTTTTATGTTTAAAAATAATGAAATATGTTTTATTTAATATTTACTTTATAAAATAAAAAAATATATATAACAAAACTCTTTCAATCTTTCTTTTAACTGTGATTTGTGTGGAATGAAAATATGATAAACTAAATATTTTGTTCCTTTAATTTTAATTTTTTTCTTTTAACTTTTTTATTTTGATATGATCTTTTAACCTTTTTATTTTATTTAAATTTTTAAATATTAATCAAAAATACTTTTTACTGATTATATCTAATTTCGTCAGTCAAATAAAAAAATGATGATCGAATATAATTAACGGATCTACATCTTTTTATATTGCAATCAGTAATCTCAATTATTAATCTATATTTTTTATTAAAATAAAAAATAAACTAAAAAATTATAACGAAACAAGAAACTGTTAGATAATTAATTTGAAACAAAAAAAATAAAATGAAAATAGTAATTAGGTCTAACTATAGTAATTAAAAAATAAAAAAATATTATAACATTATGTCAATAATTTTTTATTCTAATTTCTTAATCTACACATTTAAAATTCTAATTGAGTTTACGATATTAAATTTATCATAGAATAGACTTATATTGCATTTCTATGTTCTGTAAAGTGACAAGGAATATAAAAAACAAAAAGAAACAAATAGGAGAAAAAATAAAGTTGTATTTCAATCACTTTTATGGCGTGGTCTCAAATTCTCAATCTCCTCAAAATGAGTGCAGAAGGAAACATGGCTCTGCAACAATATCGAGAATTTGGTTCCCGCGGCTTCAAATTCAGACACACAACACACAGGTTAAATAAGTTTGATTTGGATAAATTTTTAACTGAGTATTTAAGAAAAGTTAATATAAAAATATATTTTTAAAATTTTAAAGTGAAACATTTTTAAAATATATATATAAGTTAATTTTAATTTATAAATATAATATGATTTATTATTTAATTTTTTATTCTTATAAATATTTGTTAAAGCTTAGCCATAATAGATTAATTATTACAATTAAAGCATTAATGATTGATATTGCTAGGCAGAAGTGTATGCATGTACTAGTATCTCTCTTCATAATTGATTATGTTGGAGTCAAAATTAACTACTGGTTACATTAATACCCACTCGATCTTATCATATTTTTCAGTCGAAATAATAATAAGTAGTTGATCTGTGCATTGGTCAATGAAGACATGCAAACAATGCACTTTATTTGACAGAAACTATTTGATAATTAAGACTGAAAATATATATACAACTGTAAAAATATGATGAACCATTTAGTGTATGATAACATAGTTATTTGAGTTTTTTTGTTAACTTCTGTTATGGCATATATATTTATCACTGAATCAATCAATAAATATATACTGTATTTATTATTCATGTCCATTTTAATACATGTGAATGTTATTATATACATTTATAATTAATGACAAAATCAAATGGTAGATCCATTTGGCCTTTAACTAGACTCTTGTTTTCTTCCTTTTATACAAGTGAAGGATTGAAGTGACCAGCTACCAAATTCTTGATCTTCAGCTAACAGTTATCAGTTAACAACCATTGAGCCAAACCTTTTCTTTTACTGAGTAATTTTCTCTATCACAATTCACAACTAGAAGACAAATATCTTTAAATACTATAAGTATTTAGAATATATATATATATATATATATATATATATATATATATATATATATTAATAAAAGATCAATACTTGTAAATATAGTTATGACATATTGTAAGTATGTACTAAGACATGTTTCGTGTCGAGTATTATATGCATATTTTAAATATTTTTAATTAAATTTTGTAATTTTTTTACTTGAATACTAATATAAATCAGAATATCATAATAATTAAATAAATAAACTATTTTATTATGTTTATAGTGACTTATTCTTATTCACTAAAAAAATACTTTTAATCTTATATTAACTTAAATTAATCTTATATACTAATTATAGTCGCGTCATTTTCTATAAATTTTAAAATTTATTATATGTTCATGTCCATTATATTATATTTGTGTCACATGTATTAGTACTCTTTAAGTTAAGCATTTGAATTTTTGTACCATGTCACAAACAAACATGTGGAAAGAGTGCAATAAATGGTTTTTGTTTTTATTTTTATTTTTCAGTAAAAAGGTAATCTTCTTTCAAAATTATTCAGCTAATATAACTTTTGAAAAAAATAATGAAATTAATATAAGTAATAACTTCTTTATTCTAATAAATTGATGACCGTTTTGAACATTAATTTTTAATAAAAAATTCGTAGTAGTTAAAAATTATCTTACCACACATTTATACGTAGAAATAAACAAAGTAAGTTCTAGTCCAAGTTACATTTTAAGATAGTTTACGTGGTTTAGGTTAGGGGACATATTTATTTTACTACTCTTAAAATTTTTTAGAATATTATATAGGAAAAATTTTCAATCAATAATACTTAGACACATGTTTAAATAATAAATATAATAATATATATTTTTTATATCTTATCACATATTTCTTTTTTATTAATATAATTTTTTAATATGATATTCATAAAAAAATTTCAAAGTACTACTACACACACCAATAATGTATTAGGATAAAATATTAAAAAATATATTGTTAATATTACTCTTGATTAAATGCTAACACAATATCATAGTTCTTACTTTTAAAAGTACTACAGAATATATTATTCATTAAAATTTATAAAAAATTATAAAAATGATGTAAGTTTTACTTTTTTTTATTTTTAAATTAATATTTTATGTCTTACTATTAAGTCAAATATGATTTAATTAATTATGTTTCTTTTAAGACCATTTAATTATGTCTATGCTGAGTTAACTACAATTTATGATTAATTAATTATCTCCCTACTGCCTAGCCTAGCGTGTATACATTTCTCCTGTTGGAACTTCTCAATGCTCAATAGCCAAATAAAATAAAATTGCATTTTCTAACAGTTCTTTAATATTTATGCTAAGGTTCCAATTTGATTATTTGAGTGATGCCAAATTGAACTTTGGATTTACCCAATAATTGAATCAATAATTACTAATGGGATCGCGAATTGTAATAGAAAGAACGCTCGTGAATATATAGAATGTCTCATTTAATCATGATTTTCCATATTCATGAAAACAACCCAAGAGTTGTATAATCATACACGTAAGTTGCCACTCTCTGCTATCATATTCCTAGTTAGAGAAAATTAATCATTGATATCTCATTAAACTTTATCATAAATAAAATAAGATTGATTAATGCTAATTGGTGTTTTTAGGATATTAATTAAAGTCTTCAAGAATTTTAAATGATTTTTTTTATTAATACAAAATAAAGTATATGGCAGTGTGACAGAAAAAGTACATGGCGTGTTCAGATATTTGGAAATATATTTTAAAAAATTGTTTAACACTTTTAGGTTTTCTTTTGCAACTTATATTCTTTTTCTTTACTGCTTGTTTTCTTCTGAGCTTAAAATCTGTCTCATCTGCTTGTTGAAGTGACATATATATTTTTTAATCATCTTGATCTTAGAATGATCCTAATTTATTCTATGATAAACATCCCACACCTAAGTCCAAACTCTAGCTCCAAAATTTCCTCGATGTTATAATAAAAGTAATATTTTAATATTGATCAAATTACTATTTTAATTATATTTTTTATTTTGATTTAATCATCTATTTTTTATTTTATTTGTTTATCTCTTTATCTGAATTTAATTTAATAATTTATTAATTGAGATGGTAAAACATATTACAATTAATTAATTAAATTGAATTAAAATAAAAAAATTGATGACTAAATCATTAATTCAACCTTATTCAACCTTAAACATTTTCACCAATGACTTGAAATTCATAAAATGATAAGCATTAATTATTTTATTAAAGTTGATAAAAGAATTATTAAATTTGTATTAAATTTTGAACTCTATTATGAGTATCTATTTTTATTTAATCTTTAAAATATAGGTTTAAACTTTGCTCAATTCATTTACATTTTGACGGGAGTGCTTAAAAGAGTTTAAGAAGGACTTATTTTAGTACTTTTATTAAAAATAATGATAAAAATTGACTTGAAAAAAATTATGGATCTATCAATGTTTCTAACAATACCTATGTTAAACTCATAGTTATAAAGTTAAAAATAATTTATAATTTAAATATAAGACATTTTGTGTTATTCTAATGCAACAAATGTTATAAAAATTATTTATTTATTTTATAAATATACTAATTTTATTTGAGATAAAAGAAATGACTGAGAAAAAACTGACAAATTAATATCAAATACACCTTAGTGTGAAAGTAAAAATATGTGCAAATTTTTAATTAAATTGAAATTTTTTTCCTACTGTGATATCGAACATTGATTTTCACTTCTTACAAATCTAAGCCTCTTCACATTATAGGAGAGTCTTATATTTAAAATTATAATTTTATTATTTATTTATTTATTTTTCTCTAAAAAAATTACTTAATTCAAACTTAATAAAAAAATAATTTTATAGATCAAAGTTAAAAATTTTAAAGTTAAATTAAGTTTAAATTTTTTAATTTAATTGACTTAAATGTACGTGTTAAGCTAAATTAAAAATAACTTATTTTAACAAGTTACACTAAAAGTTTTATTAAAATAAAAAAAATAAATTACAAAAAATATAAATCATCTAGAAACTCTTCTAAATAGATCTTAAATCTTTGCTTTTATACCTACAAATCCTTTAAATTATTAACAAATATAATAAATATATATATTTTACTTAATACTTACTTTATAAAGTTATTATAATTTTTTAAGAATAATTTTTAAATACTTATTAACATAAGTGAACGACTATGAAAACTATCAGCAAAGATATAACAATTATTTATTTGAGCATAATTTATCATCTTAAATTGAAATTATAGTATACATAACTTTGTTAAATATTCAAAAATAGATTTTTAAATCCTGTTTTAGCCTTGCTCAACTCTTTTTACCAAGAAAAAAATATTATTAATGAATTTTCTTTAATGCAAAAAAACTTGTAGTTTTTAAAACATAAATTAAATTTGCAGCATGATATATAGATGGGTAAGAAACCAAGTTTTGGGGTCCAATAGTATGAATGGTGTGAAACAGAGACAGTTCCTTTACAGTGTTATTCCAACAATTGAATGCCTTTCTTCTCTTCCCAACTGTCATATCCTTTTCAAGACAATACAAAATACGAATACACAACATTCTTTCTCTCCATGTCTGCTAATTATCCTAAAATCTTATCCGAAAACAAAGTGTATGCTTTTACAAACATGTTAAAAATTTTGTAAACATGAATTTAAATATACACAAAGGTTCTAAATACTTTTTCATTTTAACAATACATCATATAAGTTTATTTATTTAATGTAATAATAAAATTACAAGTTGTAATGGTACAATACAAAGGTGTGAGTATTGTAGAAATGTTCACTCGTGAATAAGCAGAATGTTGCAGAGGAATGGCAACAAAGAATGATTATTGAGATGGAAATGGTCCAACTGTTCAGCTAATGATGAAATTCGTTCTGACAGGTCAACATTGTGGTATCTGTGGAGCCACGAGCGCACAGTTGTCAAAGAATCAAAGTCTATGGCAGTTCCAGCTTTGGGAGGGAACTCACTCCAATACTTCCAACTTCTAAATTGACATAACAACTACTAATGTTTCAATGTTTACTGTGCCTCCACTTTATTCTCAATTTTAAAGTGAGTCAATATCTATTTAGTTTTTTATTTTTGATAAACTTTATAATCAAATTCTTATTATAAATTCTCGTATAATAATATATTGAATTGTTAACCATAATCCTAGATCCAAATTAATCTCATGACCCTCTTAATTTACCTCTAAGATAGACATTGTTACAGATTTTCCCTAACATTTCAATGTCCACATATAAAACTCCAGAAAACTTTATCTAAAGATACTGTGATTTATACAAGTCCAAAGGCAATCTTAGAACAGTGCCATCTACGCTTTTGCAAGCAATGTCAAAGTTCATTGATTGTGATTTGAATATTTTACTTTTCTAGCACAAGTTTGTTTTGTTACGTGGGTAATCAAATCAACCGCCCCAAACCTAGCCAATGTCTACCACTTAATTATATTTTTTAATTATATATGATAAATGTTTATTAAAAAATATAAAATAAAATATTAATAATATTAAGTGTTATAATTTTTTATAAAAATTTATTTTGTATAACATTTTATCTCGCACAATGTTCATGTTAATTTTTTTTAATTTGTAATTTTAAGTTTGAATCTTTAATATACATATATTAATAAGTATTAAATATTTTAAAAAAGAGTTTCATTGTTGATAAATAATTTTATTTAATATTTAGAAGATATTGATAATTTAAACAAAATAATTAACACTGCGAGGAGCAAATATTATACCTAAAAGGAAAAGCTAATTTTCTGTATACAATATTCTTGGCGTGTACTAGATTTCACTTCTTTCCTGTGATGTCTGTCTACAGCACAGCACAGCACATAAATGATAAAACACAAGCTAATCATAGATTATACATATACTACGTTAATAAACAAGAGTATGTATGAGCATTTAGCATTATAAGAGAGGTCGGCAATGAAACGTAAAGAGAAAGAAAAGCCATAGTGATAAGGTACACGTGAAGTGGAGCACTATAATGCTAGTGTATTAGACCCTTTCCATCTCAAGGAAAGACAACGGTCTCTTTTTTGTCTGAAAGCAATAGAAGATTAAAGGGGCCAATTAAATTTGGAATCTTGCTGAAAAACAGTCACGGGAGGAAACAGCTACAAGGTGCAAAACCTCTACTCATATAGAGAACTTGCATTAACTCCTATCTCTTATTCAACACCAAAGTACTCAACTCAATAATAATCACAAGACTCCCATTTCCTCCTAATTGACATCATCTCAAGACTATGAGATGATGGACCTCAAATACATGTGGGTGCTTGTTTCAATCAACAGGTTCATTCTTGACACCTTGGAAAATGAAAAAACAAGGAGTGCTCTAAAATTGAGATGCACCTCCAAGTTAAGGATTCAAAAGCAGGAGTTTTTTGAGTTCTCTGAGCAATCAGTGTTGTCTAATCTTTACTGGGGTGTTGATAGCATTGAGGCTGCAATTCAAGCACAACAGCCGGAAGAAAGATCTTTTAGGCTAATGAATTCAGAACAAATGCTTCAGGTTCCAGCAATGCTTGATGAAGAAGAGGTCACAGCCACAATTCCAAACCGTTACTTGGTGTGCTGCTCCTACTTTTATCTCTCAGTGGTGAGGAAACTTCAGGGTGATGAATGGCAAGCAGCACTGCATTTTCTACAAGCAGTGTTGGTCTCTCCAAAACTTGTTTGGACTGAATTTGCATCGGAACTCTGTGAGAGTCTTTTCCCACTATCAAACATACCCAAAAGGCAAGAAAACAATGGCCATAGAAGTTTGGAATTTGATTCTTCCAGGACTTCTGAAGATGAAATCAATGAAGCAGTTAGGGAGATGGCAAGGAGGTACAAGGAATGTTTGGTCTATTACCAGGTCATGCTTTATGGAGAGACTCCATGGTGGCGCAGTTATTGCAGCAAACAACAATCAGAATGTTCTATGTAAGATTAAATCCTTTCTGTTCCATAAAACTTCACATTGAAACAATACTCAATAAGGGGAAACTAGGATGTTCTGATGTTCATTAGTTTGAGGAAGAAACTAGAAACTAAAACCTGAAAATGCAGTGTTATTTTCTGTGACAGAGAAAATTGTTAGAACATTTAGGAAAATTCCAGTTTCTATTGACATGGACAAAGGTTGTAAACTATGTAATACTGGCAAAGACTTGTGTTAACTCAATCATGAGTACAAGAATTTTGGGTCCAGGCATCCAACTACAAATAGATTCTCACCCTCAACTCAACTAAAACTCTCAAAATGGATGCAGTAAAAATGTAAACCACATGAAGTTCCAAGACTTGAATACTTTGAGAACTATACTCAGAGGGTTATGCTTGGATTGATGGAAAAGGATGGAATGGAATGATATTAGGTTCAATTGTTTGAGTTGTTTAAAACAAGATGAAATGGAGTAGAACATGATGGAACAATAGAACATATTCCGTTCCATTCTAATAGCTTGCTTTTTCTTCCCCCACTATTTGGAGGTTATGAATGGAACTACCCTTTTATTTTTCCCATTCCACCATAAAAATATCCAAACAATTGAATGGTAATTTTATACCACTTCATTCGATTCCATCTCATTCCACTTGCCATTTGGTAATTAATAAAACAGTTCCATCTAAAGCATCTTTCTAAGTTCTAATAATACTACCCGAAAGACAAATAGTAAGGTTTGAAGAGAAAAAAAATTGCAGTAAATTTTAATGGTTTAATATGTTGAAATATGTTGCACATTTAGTGAATATAATAAAATTATTTCAGTCATAATCCATAGTTGTTTTTCTAAGAAGTAATGACAAAATACTGATAAGAGAAGAACATAAAGATAAATGAATGGCAAGAAACATATAAGATATTATTTGTTGAAGACAAGACATTAGATTTTGGAATATTACTGTATCATCTAAAAGCAACTTACCAATATGGACAGGGATGTACCAAATACCAGCTATGTATCTTCAGCTTCAGTTCAACATGAACCAAGATTAACAACTTGCAATATGGTAAGCTTTATTTTTATTTATAATGTTCTATTACTGGCATAACTAATTCATTTCATTTATACACTTCAAATTTTTACATTATTTATTGGTCACTAAGAATGTTAGATCATAGATGCATCACCAACTTCTCTTTTTTGTTCCCCTTTTATTTTCCCTAAAATTTTTGTGATATGAGGATGCAGTATGAAAAGGTTCATCCACTTGATCCTCAAGATGTGAGGCATACAATGGAACAAGAATCTAAACAATTCATGGATGTTGCTGAATATGATCACAAGAAAGCCCTCAAACAATTTAATTCATTTAAGTATCGTAGCATAGAGGACCAAACAATTTCAAGCATCAAATGCTTTGAGGATATGTTGAAAGAAGCACACACTAAAACACCAGCATTATTGGATGCATGCTATGAGGATTTTAGAGACAAAAGGGACCTGGTAAACTATCAAAATATTTCTTGTTAACATAACCTACTTAAAATATTTTGTTGCCAAAATTTGTTCTTATATGCAAGACAAGTATATTATATAGGACTCTGAAAGTGAATGCTATGTTACTAACTCATTTCTGATCATATTTAGGAAAATGTGGATGACCGAAATTTTCCAATAAGAACAACAATAACAAAAGCAGATGATTTACCACCATTATATGACCGGTTGGTCCCCCTAACAATCTTAATGCCCGTATTTTCTTTGTTTTTCTCCAGCTTTATCTCTAATATGAGCCTACATTAGGTAACTTGATATTACTGACTTTCACAGGAAACTACATCAACACTCTGGTTTGACTCAAGCTCCTCATTATCCAATGCAAGAACAGTCATTGGATAAGAGAAACATAATTAAGATTGATTCTAGCAGATTTGACAGGTCCATAGAAGATGTTACTTTATCTATCTCAAAATACAGAGATAAAACAATAAATACTTATTTAAATTGTCATGTAGAGGATGAATTCATTGACGAAGTAGGGCAGCCACTAAAATTGCATCTCTTTGATCATGTAACCTTTACATCTACTTGCAAACATAAACCAAGCCAGAAAAATCATGAAGAAAGCTCTGAGATGAAATCATTGTATAGCCTAGGAAACTTTGATGAAGTTTGTTCAAATTCCAGAAGATATTCCCTGCAGGACCGTTCAGGAATGACTGAAAGGAGAATTCAAGAACTACAATATTCAGAGGCATTAGGAAAATGTGATGAAGAATATACTGTAGACATTGCATCCATTTATGAGAGTTTGATTAGTTCATCAGGTGCTACTTATGCTTCCTTGAAGGATGTGATTTTGGATGAACTGTTAATAGTTATCTCTACTTCTAAAGAGGAAAGAAAAATAAGGGCCTCAGTATCTATTCTGACTACAATAATTTCAAGGAACAAGTCAATTATAGAAGATGTCAAGAAGAAAGGTTTGAGGTTGTGTGATCTGGCAAGTGCTCTTAAACAAAATGTCCATGAAGCTGCAATTCTAATATATTTAATAAATCCATCACCTATAGATATAAAAACATTGGAACTTCTGCCAATATTAGTGGAGATTGTGTGCACTTCAAATAGTTACAAGAATAAGCCAGAGTCACTTCTTCTGACACCTCATGCCGCATCATTGATGATCATTGAAGAACTAGTAACTTCTTTTGACTATGCCACAAATAACATGCATTTGGCCACAATCAGTTCTCCTCACGTTCTCAGTGGACTTCTAGAAGTTGCCAGAAATGATAATCTAGACGAATTTTTCTCTTTGACCACCATTCTTATAAAATGCATACAGTTTGATGCACAGTGCAGAAAGTATGTGTCACAATTCACTCCACTTGCTCCCTTTATCCACCTTCTGCAGTCAGAAAACACCCGTGCCAAATGCATGGCTCTTGAATTTTTTCATGAAATCCTTTGCATACCACGGTATATAACACTGCAACCAAATCTTTATTTTTATTTTATTTGAATATAATTGAGTAGAATTTTTAGTATATATGTATTTAAAAATTGGATCTGATGCTTTGTTCATATATTGGTTGTAATCCTTGTCCAAGGAGTGTTGGGTAACCATTTTTCATTTTTTTTCCAGATCATCAGCTATTAATCTGCTGCAGCGTATACAGCAAGAAAAAAGCATAAATATTATGCAGATACTAATGCATTGTGCCTATCAATTACAACCTGATCACCAGCTTTTAGCAGTAAACATTTTGCTTCAGTTAGACACAATGGTAATTTTTGAAATTCAGAAAAATATTAGTATATAGGTCATGAATTTCAATCATAAAACACCTCCAATAGAACAAAGATATTACGTAAGTATACTAAATTCCATTCCATTTTGTTAATTTACATGAGGTTCATTATTAATAATAAACAACAATATTATTTATCAAAAGAAGATATCACGTGAATCCAACATATTAGAAGTTTGTAAACTTTGTAAATGAAGTCACTGACTGATACATTTGGCATAACACCGCCGAAAAAATATCTTGTTCTTCAAATTGAAACTACTCAAAGTTAAGAAACTTTCTTGTCATGAAAATCTTGTACTTGGATATATATAATTGGACCAAATGATTACATACTAACAAAACAAATTTATCATGCAGAACTCATCTGATAAAAGCTTGTTCAGAGAAGAAGCAGTGCAGATCCTTCTCAGGGCAATGGCATCTCAAGAAAGCTCAGAGCAGATATTATCTGCATCAATTCTATCAAATCTTGCTGGTACATATGCTTGGACAGGGGAACCATATACAGCTGCATGGTTGCTGAGAAAAACAGGCTTGACCTCACACTACCACCAGAATATGATAAGAAACTTCAACTGGTTGGATCAGAGTCTACAGGTAAGCTTCCAAAGAGGTTTGTATGTCAGCAAGTTCAAAGTATATGTATGAGCAGTGCAGCATGCACATAAGGAGATGAATAAATTTCATAACATGCAGGATACCAGCATAGATTTATGGTGCAGTAAAATTGCCAAATATATCATTAGCATTGGGGATTCTGTCTTCCATGCTTTAGAGAGGGGTCTAAGAAGTAAGATGAAAATGGTTTCTAGAGACTGTCTTGTAACCATTTCATGGCTTGGATGTCAAGTATCAAAAAACCCTGACAGCCTCAGTTATTCTGCATCTGAGAGTATACTGAGTGGAGTTGAGCAATTTCTACATCCTGGGGTGGAGTTGGAGGAAAGACTTCTAGCATGTCTGTGCATGTTTAATTATGCTTCTGGGAAAGGTATTGTGATCACCATAGTTTTAAAACAAAGAAATTTAAGAATGAATGAATGATGGGGTACTTCATGATCAAGAATATCGATTTCATCAACTAAGTTAGACAAAAAATTTTCATGCAGGAAAGCAAAAACTAATGCATTTCTCAGAAGGAGTAAAGGAATCATTGAGACGCCTTTCAAGTATAATTTGGATGGCTGAGGAATTACACAGAGTAGCCGATTTCTTGCTGCCAAACATATCAGTGAGTACTCATTCATGACTAAGTTGTGATACTTGCTTCAATATTATATAAGTTAAGAACTTGTGTAAATTTTACATAACTCCATCCTAGTATGAGTAACCAAGAGCTTTAATTCATTGCATGAATATCAAGACAATTTTAGGACTTCTTTGATGTCAAAACTATGTATGCCAGCAGGCTAAGATCAACTTCATGGGGATTTGTCATGGTCAGCTCAATTTTAACTCGCAGTATAAGGACTTTTTAAGCCAATAAAGGGAACAGTTTAAGGATGCAGCATTTAAGAAAAATTGGTCAGGCAGTGGATATGGAGAATAGACTGAAGGTTAAATTATAGCTATTGTGAGGCAAAATGAACATAGCAAGGATTAGAAAAGGACTACCATATAAGTAAATGACTCATGATGTTGCTCTTAGGAGCTTATTCTTGATGTTCTTGCAATCTTGCTGCCTATTTATTTAGCATAACTAGCACTAACTGATTTATTTTGTGACATCACCCAAATCATCATGGTGGTAAGAGCAGCGTATTTCTTGTGTTCACACACAAATCCTTGAGGCAGGTCGCAGCTTCAGCGTAGCAGTTTGCTCCCTCATATACTTCAAGGGGTTGCTGTTCAGTGGATATTCAGATGGATCAATAAAGGTAAAGAACACATGATTGCTGATTGATGTAGTTATGTACTTTTTTTCAAAATCTATATACTAGGGGCTAAATCATGTTGATACTTGATACATGCTTTAAATCGTAAAAAAAGTAAGTCTTGCTGGAAATACTAACTAGTCAGTTGAGGTGTAATTTCTGTTTGGAAAAAGTAAAACTACTGTATGTTGGTGAATTCAAAAAGGTTTGGGATATTAGGGGACACTCAGCCAGTCTTGTATGGGACATTAAAGAGCACAAGAAGTCTGTGACATGCTTTTCACTTAATGAACCATCAGATAGCCTTTTAAGCGGATCCGCCGATAAAACTATAAGGGTAAGGTTTAACTTATTCCATGGCCACTACTTTCTATTCTCTACCAAGATTTCTAGTAACAAAAATGAACTGATTATCTTACAATAACATGCATAAAATAGGTGTGGAAAATGATCCAGAGAAAGCTGGAATGTGTTGAAGTTATAGTATTGAAGGAACCAATTCATCATTTACGTGCACATGGTGAAACAATTTTTGCAATTTCTGAAAGCCAGGGACTAAAGGTGATGCTTCAAAACTTGCCATGAATTCTGCATGTTGCACTGTAAAAACAAAATCACACACTTACACCACCAAATCCTTTCTAAAACCAGCTATACAGAAGGTAATGGGGCCTTAACATTTGCAGCTAATTAACGAATCGAGAGTGATCAGAGATATCTTCAAAGGTAAGCATGTGAAGTGCATGGCAATAGCTCAAGGAAAGTTATATATTGGATGCACAGATTCGAGTATACAGGTTAGTTTTTTTGTTGTTTGACATATATTCTAGTATCAGTAAAACGCGGGGATGACATGATGCTTTGTTTTAGGAGTATTCCACAACACACAACCGTGAACTAGAAATCAAACCACCTACAAGGAGTTGGAGGAAGCGAAGTAAGCCCATCAATGCAGTTGTAGCACATAGAGACTGGCTCTATAGTGCAAGTAAGCATGTTGAAGGCACAACATTCAAGGTGAGAATTATAACTCATCTTAAAAAAGCTTTCTTTGTCATTACATGGATGGATTATAACTCAGCTTTAAAAAACTTTCCTTTGTCCTAACATGGATGGATTATATAGGAGTGGAAAAGAGCTAGGAAACCCAAAGTCTCAATCCTCACTGACAAAGGAGATAACGTGGTGGCCTTGGAAGTGGTTGAAGACTTCTTGTACCAAATCTCCAGCTCATCACCGAATAACATTCAGGTAGTTAAATGATTTCATGAAAAACTATCAATTTAAATCATGGATGTGCAAAAAAGCTGACAGGCTCTACAAGATAAATTTGCTATTACCAAATCATGTACACAAATATATACTATTTTGAACCATTTGCACCAATATGATTAAATGGAAAAAAATAATAAAATCTGACAGACAATTAAGGGTCATTTGGTATCAGGTAAAAATTGAGATAAAAAATCAGGATCAATTTTCATCCAATATTACCAACAAAACTGATCCCTAAATTTTTCACCTTCATTTTTATACCATATCTAAACTGAGCCCATGCGAATCTTTATGCTGCAAAATTAAAGTAAAATCTTTACCCCATACCCAATTTTAAATAAAAGGACGAAAATTAACTGCTTAATTTGAAACTAACTTCCCAAACCAGATCTGGTTGAGAGGAGCACCAAAAAAGTTAGGAAGAATATCGGCTGGAAGCAAGATAACAAGCATCCTCGCAGCCAATGACATCATTTTTTGTGGTACTGAAATGGGACTAATCAAGGTGAACACAACTCATTTGATCTCTTTGTACTTATTTATTTCTATAAAAACAATGTCTAGTTATGACATTAACCTCATCCTAATTTCTCAATTATATAATCAACAGGGTTGGATCCCTCTGTAGGAAGAGCAACTTGCTGTTTGTACATACATATCCTTTCAAGTTCAACACTTTGGCCAACTAGTACAACAAAGTGCCTGTCTTGCAGTCATGTGATGCCATTGCCAAACCTCAATGTGAAGGCTCAAAAGGCTGCAATAAATTCACCTGCCAAAGGCTTAAGTACAAACTTTACATCAAGAATTACTATAGTACATATGTAAAAATATACATTTTGAGTGAAAACCAATGTGAATAGTCGTTGTCTTTAATGTACAGGAAATATTGTATATCAAATACCAAGGTGTTATTCCCTTCAACCATGATTTTGCAAATTTATAGCAAGATATTAAAATATATTTTATGTTTTTAACATAATATATGCATGAACATTTCATTTAATGGTTACTTTATAAAGTAATTGAATGATTATCGAGAACATAACCAGAAGGATATAGCAAATCTCATTCCTCTGTTGTGAGATGGATCCTTACCTAAAAAATTAGGTGAAGCAGAAATCAATTTTCGCAACATAACAAAATACAAATCCATTTCAATAATGCAGGTACTTGGGGTATATGGACACGACTAGCAATATTTTTTGCACAAATATATATTATCAGAAATAAAAAAAATTTGATCATGTACAGATTATATACGACCTTGTAAGTCTATTGCATTTACATGTTTTTATTTTATTTTATTTTTTTGTTTATGCAAGTAAAAAGAACATTGGAAAAACTATAAATGGAAAAGATAAAACATATACAAAGCTATAACTCACAAGCCAACATGATTCAGTGTTAAGTTCGAAAATAATAATTCATTATGATTGAGTTACTCATCTTACTTGAATCATGATTTGAGTTAAATTAGACCAAATCAATTTAAAATTTTAATAAAAATTATGATATAATTTAACTATAAGATTATTTTATTTCTTAGATGAGATACATGTATTATAAGTCTATAAAAATGAATTTTAACTTTTTTATCATTATTAATCAACGACGGCGTTTAAATCTCTCCTACTATCTAACAATGAAATATAAATTTTTAAAAAATTATTGAATATATATCTAAAAACTTGTTTTTATTTTAAAATTTGTCCTCTATTATTTTTAAAAATAAGAATATAGATTATAAAGAAATATAATATTTTTTATTTTACCATGCATTAAATTAAAAATTTAGAATAAAAAAATGTAATAAGTAATTTTATATTTTTATTTTTAAATCTTAATATATGTACTTAGTATGGAAAAGTTTTTTTAAAATAATTTTTAACACACTTACATAGGTTTTATCAAATATAAAATAAAATATGTATAATTTAATAAATTACAAATAAATATCTCTTAGTAGCTATTAGCTAAGAATAAAGAATAAACGTATGTTTGGGATTTTAAAAAAAACTATAATTGTAAAAAAAATATATACAAAATTATATAAAGCAAATTATCATTTCTTTAAGATAAGCATATAGTAACTAAGAGTAATATTATTAAAAAATAGAATATCTATCTATTTTTTATATTTATTTATATTTATTTTGTATATAATATAAAATTGACTACACCTATTTGTATCTATAACAAAATTTATAATTATTAACTACTTATTACTCCATACAATTATAACAAAATTTATAATTATTAAAATTTAGAAAGTTTAAATTCATTTCTATACTTGCACATATTCTATATATTTAAAACAAAATTTATTATTCTTAAAAGTCAAGATTAATAATCACTTCTACGTATAAAAGTTAGAATTTAGAATCACTTCTATATATAAATAATAAGTTTATATATTATTTTATATATTTATAACAAAATCTATAATTATTAAGATTTAAAATATTTAAAGTCACTATAAAATATATTACATAAATAAATTTATTATAAATTGTATTAAATTAGAATTAATTATAATAATTTTTATGAGATAAAAATTAAAATTATAAGTGATTCATATTTATTATCTTTAAAATATATTTAAAGTAAGTTTATTAGAATTTGATGATTAAATAATATTAAAAATGACAATAACAAAATTACTATAAATAATATTTAATAAAAAAATTATTAATATTTTATGTATAAAAAAATTTAAAAAATCATTGTCAAATATTGTAAATAGAAAAAGAAATATTGATTAAACTGTAAAAAATATCTTTATAAAAATTTAATGAAATTCTTGAATTATTTTTAATTAAAAATAAAATTATATTTTTGGTTTAATTTTTTTAAATTTAAATTATATTGATTTAAATTATTTTAATATATTATATATTTAAATATATATCTAAAATCTTAAAATGTATTTTAAATTAAAAAAACTACACTTACATGATAAAAAATAAAAAAAAATTATTATCAAATGTTAAAAATAAGAAAAATATATTAATTAAAGTGTAAAGAAGTATTTTTATAAAAATCTAATAAAAATTCTAAATTATCTTTTAATTAAAAATAAACTTATATTTTTATTTTATATTTTATTTAAATTTAAATAATATTAATTTAAATTATTTTATTATTAAATAAAACACATGTATTATAATATTTATTAATTATTATAAAAAGGGTACTCTTTTTTTGGTTTACGAATAAAAGTCCAACCTTTGTGTTTTATATGTTCGAAAGAGTGACTCTGGTATTTTTCAGTTGGGGTTTTTTCTGTTGCCTGATTTACCATTTCGTTCAAAGATAGCGAACCCTACATGGATCTTCAACCCGCAGAGCCACAGTCCCTGAAGAAACTAAGCTTCAAATCCATCAAGCGTGCCCTCGATCTCTTCTCTCCCGTTCACCGACAACTCGCTCCTCCCGATGCTGAGAGGTTCCTCTTTTCCCCCTCTTTTTTTTTCGTCTCATATACCAAAGCTCATTCTAATTCATGCATCACTTGGCTCTTACTTCTTCTTCTTCTAATGCAGCAAGAGAATACGCATTAGCCACAAGGTTAGTTAATCTTTAGTCATATTAATCTTAATCACGAGGTTTGTAACCATTTTGCCTTTGAATTTTTCTACTAAAACCCCAAACAACAAGATTGAAACGTACTTTGAATTTTTTTTCGAGTACATTCAAGGTTTCTTTTTGAGTTATGCTATTTGGTCTGGAGTGAAAATTAGGTTAACGTGGAGTATGGTGGAATCAAAAGCACCACTAATCAACCTCCTCGTCAAGTTGTTTCTGCTACACAGGATCACACTCAACAAGCAGGGCCCTCTAGCACACTTGCGCTTCCTGGTACGACTCTTATAGTTATTATCTTGGTCCTATGTTATGTGGTTAACGTATAGCTTCTTGTTCATTGCCATTGTCTTCATTGTATCAGTATGATTGTAATGCTGTTGCATTGCGTGCTTTTTAGGAGAGAAGAGTAACTTATGTATGTATATGGTCGAAAGAAGAGTGTCAGAGACTTACTCCTTTTAATACACGCTTAGTTATTGGTTAAAATTTATTAAAAACTTTTAAAGTATGACAAAGAATAATTAAATCAAAATTGGAAATCAATAAATTAAGATTGACACTCAATTGGTTTTTATAATTTTTAATAAATTTTAGCTAATAATTAAAAGTGTGTTAGAAAGAGTATTCTAGAGAGTGTGTTCCTGATATTTCTCTTTTTTGAACTTTTACTGTATGCTTTTGAGGGTGAAATGTATAGCCATATGCTGAGCTTAGGTATCGTGTCATGACAATTCATTCCTCCATGGCAAGAACTGTAGAAGATAATATTCCAGATTTGAAATTGATGTCCTTCTTGTATGATTTGTATGTCGTGGCTTCACTGTTAGAAATTGTTACTGACAACAAACAATTTTTAGCTTTAGATTTTCAGAATATCAACTCTTGCTGTACATGCCTTTATATAACTCTTGAATCTTGGACCTATGCACTTTTCCTTTTCCTCATCTGTGGTATTTTGATTTTATGATGTATACATGTTAGGTGTTTAACTGTAAATAGTTGATATCCCTCTTGCTTATTATGCTGTTCCCTGTAGATTTTTTGGTTGCCTAGTCCTCTTTAAAACTCTGCCCTGAACCAAAATGCCCCCCCCCCCCCCCCTTTTTGAATTTTAATGTGCTATCTTTTCTCATTTTTTTTCCATGTAATAATTCTACAAAAATTAAGAGAATCTGGAATTTTTTCTTATCATATGACAGGTCCTGGAGATTCCAAGGATCCCCAAAGAGGACCCCAAAATGCTTTGGTTGTTGGTCCATCTATGCCATCCACAGCTCCGTAAGTATATTTTCCTCCATTTTCCTTGAAATTTTTTGCATCTACAATAATGAGATTTCTTTACGCACTAATAATCTGCTTGATTCTTGCTCAACAGTTTATTTTTGGTTTTTCCTACTATTTATGATCTTATATTCTCTGACATATTAGCCTATATAACAGTTAAGATTTGAATCATATATACTGCTTGCAAAATTTTGTAATGATTCATTCAGTATTTTCTATTTTAAAATATGTTTGAAGATCCTATTTGTTTTTCAATATAATAAACTATTTACAATGTCAAAAATGATGGAAGTTTGCTAATCTGTAACGTTTTATTTTCAAAAGAAAAAATGGATTCTGTGCCTTAGAAAATATACTGTTCCATTTGTCTTGCGTTCTGATTTTTGCTTGTAATCAGAGATTTTAATCCAATTTCTTAAAATCTCGTGCATTAAATTCCCTGCCATTGTTGAAAGGGAAGCCATAGGTTGCAAGATTGAAATATGAATTGTGACAGATACAGCATTCTGGTTCTTTTGTTTGAATACCAGTTATTGAAGACTGATGGTTCTTATATTTTTGTTACTCTACAGGAATGATATTGGCTTTCAGAGCAAAAGTACAGCAGTTATTTCTGCCTCTGGTTCATCTGAAAGGTTCGAGCAATGCCTTTTATAGTTTAAAGTGTTTCCAAGATGATTTGTGATTTGTAGCTGTGACTGTTGCATTATATGTTTCTAAAGGTGTGATGCCCATTTTGTTGGTTCTATACACTATTTTGTCTTGTTTCTCAATATTGTAATGCATTTTGGCTATGTGGGATTGTATTTATATATTTAGGATTGACATTATGTTGGCATTAACATTTTGACAAACTGTTATGATTTATGATTTCTATTTTACAGAAACTTATCAACATCTGCTTTGATGGAAAGAATGCCAAGTAGATGGCCTCGTCCTGTATGGCATGCACCATGGAAGAACTACAGGGTGAGAACTTTACCTCCTTTTTAATTATATTTAATGATGGATAAAAAAGTAAAGAAAAAGTGGATAAGGCTTGGTTGTTGATGATGGATAAGTTGCGTTAGTATTTGTCATTT